TAAATAGTGTAAATAATTTTGTGAAATTATAGAGGGAATCTTTTAATATTGTCATCACAGTATTCCCGTTCGTTCTTACACTACGGGTAAAAGTCACATTTATTATTCAGTATTCGTGACGCAAATATCAAATCACTCGTATTTATCGACAAATTGAAATGTAAAAAGTCGAAATTCCAGAATGCATTCGATTAAACGTAGTATCGATTACACGGGTGTACTAACAATATTGTAGTTTTGTCCACTATATAGGAACAGTCAAGAGTTATCGCGATAATTGTATTACTATTATTATTAATAGTATGTATAGAATAAAATGCGTTTAATAAAAAATAAGTAAGAAATTATAATTTGCTATTTATACCAGATGTTATAATTATCGTTGTTTATTATTCGTGTGTGCCTGCAATGCGTTTTTACATGACGTGATATTTTGTATTTTAAATTAATAAAATACGGGCATAAAAATGTCGCCATTGGAATAATATTTACTGGTGGTAAAACTGGATTGAATTAAATTACGCGTATATCATAATATAATGCAATATTTACAAAAAAAAAACTGCATTTGATGATAATAATGTGCTTCATTAATAAACATCATTGCGTAAAACTAATACATCTAAAATGATAGTTTTTAATTGTGACTTTTTTGTATTGCCGTAACAAATACGATGCGTGCGATTTTTCTTACTTTCGCGGTAAAAATGTACAGGTTTTCTAATGTTGAAAGATATAAATATTCGAAATTAAATAGTTCGATCGTTTTGACGTATTAAACTGCCCAACTTAAATTGATGACCACAAGTATAAAATCGCCGGTTCGCAATAAACGAATCACGCTGTATGCGCTAGATATATATTTCTATTAATATTATTTCGGTATTAAATTCGATAGATTGTTAAATGTAAAACGAATCCCAAAACCATTGAACAGTTTCACTTTTTACAATGTAACTTCAGTTCGATTTCAAGATGTATTCGAGTCAAATATTGTTTGCATTTAAACTACGACGTATGATGTAATGATAATATTATTTTTCAACTTACACTGTACCTAGGTCAGAAATCAAACATGCAACAATCGTTCTTGGGTCTAATGTAAAATAAATCAAATTCAACCCCATTTACGGTTTTAACATAATATGTAATAACACCAGATAACACGTAATAATAATAATATTATAACGTTAATGGGGTCTATTCCTAAGAAAACCAAAATCGGGGATGATTTATCAGGGAGTAGCTATTCAGTTATTGAAAACATCAGTCTGATTAGTGAAAGTAGTAGACCTAACCTGTAGTAGTTTGAGCTGGGTAAAAAAGAAAATAATAATTTAACAGGCATTTTTCATTGTTTCGCTGCCGTATATAACTAATTTATATAAGTTTGACAACAAAAATAAAGAAAATGTATTTTTAAAAATTAACTGTGGTAGTGAAGGGGATTGAAACAGGAAATCCAGAGGGAAATCGTTTTTATTACACATCTGTTTGACACGGGTAACGTCGGGCGGGACAGCTATAGTATAATATTTTTATAAGTGTATAAAAACAATAGTAAGGGAAATATTTCAATATATTTTTTTGTTAGTGAAAAATGATAATAATAATACGCTCTAAACATTGCAATAATTTTTATTCATAAAGTAAAAAAAAAAAAAAATACTAATTTGAAGGTTGATCACAAATGATAAATAATATGATATAAGGGGTGAATCTGAATGATATGTTTTAAAATATTGTAATACTACATAAATAATATATACAAGTGTATTATAATATTATTCTTTTTTTTTTTTTTTTTTTTTTTTTAAAAAAAAAAAATAGGTATTGTATTTTTATTTTTATCTCGTATTAAGTAAACAAAAATATTTTTAATGAATGAAATTAAAATCAAATATTTATTTTTATTAAAAAGGCCGAATTCAACAAACATTTACATAATAAATTATCTTCTTTTTTCACCTCTTATAGATATTATTGAAAATTCTTTTTTTTCTTTTTTTTTTTTTTATGGTTTATTAATACTTGAGTGAAATAAATACGTAGATATCATAATTATTAATTTGTTTTTTAAATAAAAACTATTTTAATACAGTATCTATACACGTATAACATTACAGTACCAGCCATGCAAGGTTGCAACAGTCCTATATAGACTATTAGCCTAGTAATCTATTGGTTCTGTAAATTTCAGTTATTGCGCTTGATAAACGTATTCCTATTCCTGTACCTATGTTAATTAATAATTTTATCGTATCAATTATTCCAGTGTTATAATAATTTAATACATTGCATTAACAAAAACGGAGGGACATACTTCGCACCACGGGTGAGCCACTGTTGTAGATGAGAAGTTAGGAAGGTAGGGAATAGAGGTGAATTTGATTTTTCTGTAATACGTAACGATTTTTCATTAACAACGAAAAACGATTCTGACCGGAGCTCGGTCAGAGAGTAAATGATATCATTTATTCAACAATGCGTGTTTTCATGACAACAACGATTGTTTAAAAATTATAATAATAAAAAATAAATAAAACCGATTCCCAATGACAACGTTATTTTTAATATTTTTATCTTTTCAAAAAATTTCTTGTTATGCTTTGATTGGAGCAAGATTTCTAGAAGAAAAGTTGTCTATAGACAGGATAATAATACAGTTAATAGTAAAACTAATTGGTCCCTCGCTCAGAATCTAAAATTCAATTTGAAGTTTAAGAGTAATAATAAAGTTTGAGTTTAACTTTAATGTCCAAACTATCGTAGGCTTTGGTGATTAACTAATATATTATGCAAAATCAATATATCTTCATCAGATTCATCTAATGAAGATGGGAGGGATCAAATTAATATTTTATTTATATTGTACAGTTTATTTATTAGAATAACTCCCCAGTTAGGAGAAAATTATGCAACGTGTTTATGTAATTTATAATTTATTTTAGTTTTTAATTTTAAAATGTTAACAAAAATTATAACTATAAGTGTTAAAGAGGTTTTCCGCATAATATTTTCAAGTTAAACAGCTCTACAAATTGTACAGAAATGAAATAAATTTATTAACTTATCGACTCCAAAACTATGTATTTGATAACATGTATTCGTTTAAAGAACAGTTTTATATTTTACTGATGATTAAAATCGGTTCTGTAAAGTTTCATGCGAACTGACACTATGCCTACTGTTAATATTGACATCCATTTTATGGATATTCTATTAAGCATATATTTCGAAAATAGTCAACTCGGGTGAAAAAAATGTAGAACAGTATTGTTTTTGTATTTTCAAAATGTCCTAAAATCACGCGGCCTCGGAAAACGAGAATAAAATAGATTGAACGGTTAATATTGCTGAGGTTCCGTTTCTTATTTCACTCGTATACGTCGTATACCAGTGCGTTGAAGGCTACGTGTTTTATTTAAAATTTGTATATAGGTATAAAATGCAAATTTCGTTCCGTTTATATAATTCAGACAGTATACATAAGTAACAATACATCGCTGTTGTTATTATTATTTTTTTAATACCGTAATATGTATACAAAGTATTAATCATTATTATATATGCGAGATATATTTCTTTAACACAAACGACTTTAAGGCACCTAAATAAAAATTGAACGAAATAACTATAAACGAAAAAAAATGAATGGTTAATTAAAACATAAAAAACTTAAATGCAAACAAAAAAATCATAGCCCGATATTTCCATTTGGTTTCATTAATTTAAATCAATTGCGTTTTGGTGGACGACCTTCTTCGCCAAATGATCGGTCGATGATGATTTTGTACACAAATGTTTTTGACATTATGTAAATACTTTTAAAATACTTATGGACTTTACCACATTTAAAAATATTATACCTGCATATTTTAAGTGACGGATTCCGTCGTGCATAACTCCAGCAACATATTATTTTTGAATTTGATATTATTATATTCGTGTATCAAGCCAGTCTCGCATCGCAATAGAGAATTGAATTAATAATTATTTTATTCAATGAAAAAGGAGCTATTAAATATAATAAAAAAAAATCCATGTAGATTAAATTAAATGAAAATAGCACTGCTACGTATTGTGCTTATGTATTATATATGTGCGTACAACAATATTTGCAATTCACTCGAGTGACTAGTCCTATTAAGAATATATGCTATATGCATTCATATTTATTGTCCGTCTGACAAACGAACGACATGGCAAATGTACGTATAGCTGCAGAATAAATGTTCGTCTGTTAGTTTTAATATTCAAATAGATTGACCTATTGTCAATCTAAAGGGGATGAATGTGAGCTGTGTAAGCTGTGTTCGTACGTTGGTTTTTCGTTATTTTAATTTTTAATAGATATACGGTTTTATAAAATATCACGATTTAAAAATGCATATATCTCGCCTAAAAATTATATAAAATATCGGAAAAACCAACAAACAAACACAGGCAATGTCCTGGCCATTTAATTTGATAATAGGTCAATTCACTAAAAGTACACAATAAGGGCGGCCACATGAAAATTTGCTATGTCATTCATTTATAAGACAGATGTATGTGTAGCGTTGTCTTTTTTTTATATATATTACAACAATTATTCGTATTACAACGAAACTCTATAAAACAGTCATGTTATTAAAAGTTTATTTTTCTAAGTTATAGTAGAAACCTACTAAAAAAAAAAAAAAATCAAGAGGAATCTATCCCTATCCGCCACCCTTTCATAAATACGCCATGCGGGTATACATTTGGCCATACTGGGATACCCTTTTAATCTCCATACTAATTTTTGTCGCTCTTAATTCTTTATTAAATGTTCTCCTTCTTCATAGTGTGTTCATATGACCGGATGGAAATAATTTAGAATGTTTTCGTGTATTATATTATGATAGAAAAAAAAAATCACTCTGTATAAGGATGTCGAATAGACGCAACGAAAATAATATTATGACTGCGTGAATTTGTTCGGCTCGTCCTATTAATATTTCCTCCCACGGACATTTCGTTTTTTTTTTTTGAGCACTCGAATTCGACCTGCGGGTCACCGCCGCCACCACTTGTTAGCGTTCTGCGCCCGTCAACTCGTTTTACTCTTCGTTTCCCCCACGGGCTAACAACAAAAATACGTTAGGATTGTGTTTTGTTTTTCGTTTTTTATGTCGAACCCTTCCTCGAAACGTGTGCGAAATTTATTTTATTCGGAACGTGAGAGGAGCAGCGGGAACAAAAAAAAAAACAGTATGAATTTTATTTCCCGAACGCGTATGGTTAGTAAGTACCTCCTCGGCTCGTATTTTTTTTTTTTTAATTTTCACCACGGTAAACTTGTTTTCGTCTACGTTATTTATAAATATTTATTATTATTACGATTTTTTTTTTTGCATACGCCGTCAGTGAAATAATCGATGACGATGGTCTCATTGCGCGTTGTTTTATCCTCTTTTCGAAATTCAGCGTCTGACTCGCGTGAAACCACGATAAAATAAATGATGTTATGTGCAATATCTACGTATTTCAATCAATACAAAAAAAACAAACTATCACAAACTGCTGTCTAATGATGGCAATTTTTTTAAAAGGAAATTTCACTAGGAAGTTTTCACAGGAGTTTTCTTTGCAAATGTGAAAAACTGGGAAAAAACATAGGAAAACCGAGGAACACGTAGGAAAACCGGGGGAATCGGTACAACATTAAATAAATATTATTAAAGAAAATATATAGAGCCTATTTAATTATTTTACTATAATATGGCATATTATGTTGACAAATCATTACTATATCAACTGAACTCCACTACGAATCTTTTTTTCGTAAGCAATGGTTTATCGTTGCTTACAGATATACATTAAATTCCTACTTGTATCCTACCTTCATAACTTCCCACTTACACCAGTGGCTGCACCCGTCCCCATTATCTTACCTTTTTTTTGAAAATATACAAATGCGTTATGTTATTTATACCAAAAAATAAAGGCAAACAAAGTACATAAGACAAAATGATGAAAAAACAATTTTTTCAAAATTTAGCTTATGTCCTTTTCCCTAAGACTAAAGATATATAATCACAAAACATAATATTTGAAGTGAAAATTCCAAATCACTCATTTGAGTCATATATTGGTTAGGTATATATCTCTTATATCTCTATTGAGTGGTAAATTTATTTTATAACTATAGATAGATACATTTGAAATCTATTTAAAATTTAGCCAAAATAATATATGTATTAAATCGAGCAATTCGATCACTGATCAGTATTTTTTATTTCATTTTTTTTTTTTTATACTACTACATTAGAAATACATCATAAAAAACTTATATGATACATACATTACACTTACGTTTTTTCTAGTTTTCTATTTAAGTTTAAAAATACTACTTTATAGTGATCATATTATTACGTTAGGTGACTTCATTACTACCGTCTACAATTTTAATTATCATTACTTAATTTTTATTCAACATAAATTAATTTTTCACCCCACATGGACGTGTTGAACTATTCGAATGACATTGAACTATTGTGTGTTGCTATTGCACTAAACGGAAAATAACGTCAACGTGTTCATTGGGTTCATCCATTGAATACTTAAAGATTGATTTTCGTGAATTTCATTGTTTATACTTTGTATATTTGATTCCACTGCACTTATCAAAAATTCCACGTTAAATGATGACATCATCCACGTGGTAGTCGTAGTGTTTATCAAATGACGCCAACAATTATTTATCGAAACTTTAAATATTATTCCAGACTTTGTGTATTTTGCCATTATATAGACTAGACTGAAATAGGTCAGCTTTATAATCGTGCAACAGAGAAGTTGAAATAACAGAAGTAGCTATTTATTAGACGTTCATCGAATTTAATGATTATCAACTGTAAGATAGAAGACAAAGCCAAAATGGTCATTTTATAATAAACATTTGGATGTTGGTGGTTTTACAAATATTTATTGATAAAAATCTAATAGTTTTTACAATTTCTTTTGAGTTTACAAAAATGCAAATTATTTTCACTATAGGTATCACCAAACTAAATAAATAATTAAAATATAATTACCAAATAAATAATGACTACGTAATAACAAATATTATCGTATGAGGATCTACTTTTTACGAAAAATTATGTGTAATTAAATTATTTAATATAGTGACAATGAAAACAATTTAAATTATGTTCAAACAACTGTGGAAAATTAACGATTTGTCATTATAGTGAACATTATAACTGTATAACACCGAAATTGTATTTCAAAATAAATTAATAATATGAATCTTGGTTATTGTAAAAAATAAAAATGTAAATATATACAATTAATAAAAGTTCTACCCACATAATAAGGATTTAATAATTGTTAAAAAAAATGACAAAGACACTAATCAGAACTATTTTGGAAAAGGATGAAGTTATGTACAGGATAATTTAATATAATATCTGTGTACGTACAATAACAAACCAATGCTGATGAAAAACGATTTTATGCAGATTATTATTATAGAAGTTTTTTACCCTTGTTGATAAAGCAATCCGAATTTCAACAAATACATAAACAATCGCCAGTTATTAAGAAAACTACAACGATAGAAAAAAACGACCTCCTCGAGTACATCGATTAATACGTCAGATACGCGAAAATGGTAGAACAGTCGTTTACAGGCTTTCGGACATAACAAAACCAATATCGGAAATTCGAAATCTCGAATGTAGGGACAACGTATAATTGTATAAAATTTAAAAACAAAAAAGAAGCTGATACTGAGGATAAGAGCGGCCACTGTTGTAGATGAGAAGTTGGGAAGGTAGGATACATAAAGTTATTTCATTTATAACTGTAATAAGCAACGATAGATTATTGCTTGACAAAATACAATTCCGAGCGCCGTTCGTTAATACATAATTTGAAATGTCATAATTTTTTTTGCTTAAATTTGATTCTAAAACGCTTATTAATAAAAAAAGTCGTCCGATGATTTTGGAAATTTCACTACGTCTAGATAAGTTCAATATAAGTATTATATACCAAGTTTTAAGTCTCTACGTGTATTTATAACCGAATTACATCAAAAAATTCAAATTCCTTAAAAGCTCAAAAGTTTTGGCCATGATACCGTAAGAAAGTAAATCAAAATTCAACAAAAAAGGCGTCTCGGGATTTTTCGATTAAATCATTTTGCTGGTAAAAAACGTTGTCCGTGTTTTTATAAAATAACGAAATCGTAAAATTGAACGTTTTCCTACGTTTTTTTTCCCACCCAAGTGCTTTAGTTTAAAAAATGACACCGAAAATCAAAAAATGACCTGTTTAAAGTATAATCTAAACAACTTAATCTTTCAGAAAAACTGTTATAGCAAGTGCTCGGAGCACGTTTACCAGGGAAAAACGTGTCCACAGAATAGAAGGAAAAAAAGAAAGAAAGACATAAACGGCATTGTAAAACCAATAGCTCCCTCCTAACTGCGTTCGGAATCTATAAAAAAAAAAAAAACGGACCAGCACGATAATATTATAACAGTACGATTGCATTTTGTCAGAATTCCCGTTCGGAATGAACCGGCGAGCTACCGAGAGAACCCCGGCGGTCCGCGAGAAATTCCGTACTCGTTTTTAATTAAACTTAACGAGTGTAAATTTTATCCGTTCCGCTAGGCGGCGGGCAGACACCGTTCCCCGTCCGGCGCCCGATGCCCGTGGGACCGCACTCTGTGTATCACACGCGCGTTCGCACAGACACGCACGAGCAGAATAAACAGAAATATTACGATAATGTTATTGTTACACGGCGTTACATGTACGTGTTACCGGCGTGCAGCGACATCCACTTGTGTCCCGTTCGTTTTGAATCGTACACGTTATTTGCGGCGTCACTCGCCGATCGTCAGCATCGTCGCGGACCCGCGAGAGCGGCACGCTTCCGATTATGACGACGATGTAGGCCCCGTAACGTTTCGTATTGTCACATTATTATTTACCGTAGCGCGACATTAAACAGGCGGTATATTATTATCCGAGGTCGCATTATTTAACGTATTAGAAAAAATAAAAAAAAAACCACAACGCGCCGCGCGAACGGCCCGTCGTCGTATGGGAATAATATTTTGATTGTATTAATAAAAAAATTATTATCCGAATGTGTCCGGGGAGTCGGGCGGGCGGAGAGAGAGAGAGAGAGAGAGAGAGAGAGAGAGAGAGTGAGAGAGAGAAGACGAAATAAATAATAATAATTGCGTCCAAGGTCAATAATCCGCGGCCGACGACGGGTTATTCGGTTATTATAACATAGGAGATCGTCGTCGTTGCACTACGTGAACACAATAAATATAATAACAGGTGCCACGCGACGTGATGGAAATTACCACAATAATCGAAAGCGAAATATATTTTCCGAAGGGGGAAACGAAAAACAGAATGTCGAAACGGATAATATCGTTATGGTAACCCGTTTATCGGTTTCGGTGTACTCCCCGGACCCGCTGCTCGCCCGTCGTTTAATCCGTCGCCCTTTTTAAAACGACCGCGACACGTCTAGTTAAAACCCCGGTAGTTTTTGATTTACCGTGCGAACCCGGAAATCGGGGGGAGGAGGAAGAGGGGGGTTGTGGTTCGATTTTCCCCGCGGGTTTTCGAAATAATTAAGAAACGAAATTGTAGGGAAAACGGCATACACGTTTACGTTACCGGTGTCACGTTGTTTTAAACTTGTACGCGCTGTGCGTTTTCTACCGAAAGTATTGTCGCTTTAATAAAATAAAATGAAAAAAAAAACCCGCGAAATTAATTTATTTTTGTTTCTGTTTTTGGATCTATAGTCGGCGAATAAGAAGGTCAGTTTTTTGATTTTTCGTGTAGTTTTCAAAATAATCGCGAAAAAACTCATAGAAAGAACGGAGAAGTATACATCTATAAATACGGTTTTATTATTTTCAATTTTATATTTTCGTTGTAATTCAGTGAAAAATATTTCTAGAGACTTGAAATTTCGACAGAAAAATTATATTTGCATTTTCCAGTTGCAGCACTATTTTCACAAAATTTTGGTGATTTTTGAGTTATTTATAGGCATCTTATGTTTGCGATTTTTGTACGTACAGTTCTTATTTGGTAGATAGGTATGTGGATGTAACTGTTTAACCAAGCAGACGTGCTTAAAAACTCAAGGTTCACCATAAGTTGTACTTGGCGGTCAAAAAAAAAAAAAAAAATTAAGAGTAATTTTCTTTTTATAATTTTTTTAAAATAAAATTTCGATGCACTTCGCTTAGAATCATTTTTCGTTAGCAACGGTTTATCGTTGCTTACAGACGTAAATTAAATAAATTTATGTATCATACCTTCCGAACTTCCTATCTATAAGAGTAGCATGCCTATCAGCAGTATATCGGATCGTTAGTTAGTTTTATAAGGAGAAAGTGGCAAAACACGAGTTGATGAAATCACGTAATAACAATAACGGCCCCTTCGATTAATTCTTCAGTCCCAGGGAAGAAGGGCTCTTTTAAATTTTGTTTAAAGTTTCAGTAAAAGAAAATTGTTGAAAATGACATATTATACGTATTGGCATAGTATCGTTTAATGGCTAAACTTCCGAATGGCCTAAAATAGCTTTATAAATGGCTAAAGTCATAATAAAATCATATGGCTTTTATATTGTTTCGCTAAACAAAAAGTACATCATAACGACTTTTAGTTTTCAGTATATAACATGTATAGGAATTGCCTAAATCAACTCGTGTTATTTAAACTAAAAAATAAAAGAAACTTTATTTTAACTTTTAACTCCAAAGAATTTAAACCACAAAATGTCAATATCAGTCTTAATATTATTTCTATTAAAAACGAAACCAATAATATTATAATATCTACCTATGTATTTTCCATTGTTACACTAAAAAAAAAAAAAACAAAAAAAAACAAAAACAAAATTCTGACAATGAGTTAAATATATTATTATGATGAGTGTATTATACCAATCGACTAATTTGTTTGATTGTGTTGACAGAATTTCGTACATTCATTTAGTACGTTAGCATTGATAATTATTAATAATAAAATAAAAATTACAATTAAAATTGTTTTTAATTATTGTCGTCCAACCTAGCTGAGTGTACGGTATATACACACGCGTATCGAATCACGTGAATGGTAATTGATTTAAACAACGAGCTGTACAAATACGTCACATATCTAAATATCGAAAATAATATTTCCCAATTCGCATAGTAGGTCGTTCAATAATAATAATAATAATATTTATATATTATAGCAATTGGAATGTTGTTAATTCTTTTAATAATTTTTGTTTCGATAACGTAATTCTGTACATTCCATTGTAAAATACTCCGTGATTATCAACGAGCATAATGTCATGCTATACGGTGTATAATTTGCGAATTATACTCGTATATTGTGTATTATGCCGCTTTATTATTATAGCCAGCACTATAGCCATTTAATGGGTATGGGAATTATTTTCATAAATTAAACAGAGGTATAGGTATTTAAATATCGATTCCCGGACCAATTTAATTGTTATACGAGCGCGCATAATTAATTCGTATTGTTATTAAGACTTGATTATAACGTCGATTAGAATTCGGTAATAATTTATGTTTTCATTCATATATGTAGGACCGAAACACAAACGTTGTAGCTTACTACACATAATATTATTATGGCATAAATATGCATCGATAATCGATGATTTATTCCGTCTAAGAGTTGGTACACAATGGGTTTGTATAATAAAACAATACGACTCGTCGATTACGATAGCTCAAATATTCGTAAGTAAACGAATAATATTATAATATTAAGCGCGGAGAATTCGATAAAAAGAATATTACTTTTCGGCGTTTTCTTTTTCCCCCGGGCCAAATATTGACACAGTGTGATAAATCATTATTTATTTTAACTTCTTGCGGTTTCAATGAAAACCGCTATGTATATTACGCTACCTATATTATAATTGTTACTTATACAAAAACTTTACACAGTACGTACCTACTTCGGAAAATAAAACTAATAAAACGAAATATTGGGTCAACAAACTGTACGATACCAACGCTATTAAGAAATAAACTGTTAACTACTGGTATTTCGCCGTTTTATATAGACGGGAAATCGGAAAGGTGGAATATAATATTATATTGAGTACCACCGCGGAGCGCCGTAAACATATTTGCCGTTTACCTATAATTTTCTATCGGATTTTCCCCAATTATTTCGGAAACCCCTTGGAAAATCAAAAAAATGACCTTACCAATGCACCAACGAGAAAAAATTACCTTCCAGAAAAGGTGTTATAGTCTATACTTCCGCAGCAAGACTTCTGGTAAAAAAGTTGTTCTCAAACCGAAAAAAATAAAGACACACATCCCTCGCTACGCTCGAATCTAAAAACATAATCGAAAATATAGAATTCGTTATTGTAGTATATTTTTTATTTTTCCTACGTTTTTCCCCGGTTTTTTCCTTAATGTTCAAGAAAACAACAACAAAAATAAATATTTATGCTAAAAATCATCCTGAATTTAATGGTCGGAGCAAGATTTCTGATTGAAAATTTGTGTACACGAAAAAAAGAAATTAAAAATAAGCACGTGCGACGCACACCTTTGCAAAGCCAATATAATATTCTACGTTTGGCTCAGAATTCATTTTAAAATTCGCTCTCATTCTACGAATAGTTTATACCACTTTTTCAATTTTATCAATTTGTGAAAGAAAAAAAATGGACATATTTCGCACGATGGGTGGGCCGCTGTTATAGGTGAGAAGTTGAAAAGGTATAGGATATAGACAGGGTGCCAGGGTAGTATATATTTGATTTTGTATAATATAGTTTTCAATACAAGCAAATTACATTTTGAAAATACGCGTATACTTATGGTTATGACATTTAAATCAAACAAATTAATGAAAACGAATTACATCAAAGAAATGTATAAAAAACTGAAAGAGCTAATACTGATGGAATCACTTTTATAGTCATTGTTGTAGGTAGGAAATTAGGAAGATAAATGTAATTATTTATTAATTGTATATCTGTACGCAACGATTAAGCATTTCTAACGAAAAATGATTCTGAACGGAGATCGGTTATACATATTTTGAAAGGTCGTAATATTTATGATTTTCGTCAAAATTTGATAATAAAATTCTTGTAAAAAAAATTCTACATTTCACTCGATTTCTTTTTATCACGGAATACGACTTATAATGAAACTCCTGTTAAATTTTTAATCATTTCTGTTTGATAAAACAATTTCATCCACAGAGTACCTATATAATAAAAACTACGTACAAACCTAAAACCTCGCAAATATAAAATGCCTATAGATAGCTCAAAAATTACCAAAATGGTGTGAAAATAGTACCACGATTAAAACCTATTAGGTATAATAGGCAAAGGCCTATATGTATATATTTATCTACTGGTAAAAATCTATTATAGGTAAATAGTATTGATTTACTTACCTATTCATATTGATGAATTACTAAATACCAAATGCCTATTTTCGACGTTCTTTTTACCAACCTACATTCTACCCACCTTACAATTACAATCATGATACCCAGGTATATTGAAAACCCCTTCGCCTCGCTATTGGATTTTTGTAATATTATTTTATAAAGTTGAATGTTTTTTTTTTTTTTTGGTATGATGATATATATTTTATTATACAATAATTGTTCAAGGTTAATTTTCTATTCAATTTTCAAAATTTTAAAACCCGAAATCATACACTATTCACTCACGTTAAAAGAAACACAAATTTATCTAGTGTTCCTGGTATATTACATAAAACATTATATCTGTCAAGTCTGTATAAAACAAATTACCGTGTTTTATTCAATTGATTTATTTGTTATTATGAAAATTTATCTTAGACATTATCAAAGAAAATTGTATTACACAAAACTATAATCCATTTAATTCGTTAATTTTATTATATAATAGCCGATTGTAGAGTTTAGTGCTAATATAAATTATTATTACAGTAATATATTATTTATTAGTTGCATCGTGACTCGTGAGTTTATTGCCTCGTAAAATTTATTGATTTTAAAAAGGTTTTGAACAGTTTTATAAATATTATTATATAATTGCTACAGTACGTTTGTAAATATGTGAGGTTTATTTTTCATACACAGATTGTGTTTGAATGATAGTTTTTGAATATAATTAAACAAAATAATCTTGTAAATAATTTTATATTTTATTATTACGTTTTTATCAACAGTATAAATAGCGAAAAAAGAAATAGCATTCTGAGTAACAAACACTAGCTGATAATATGAAATATTTTTCAAGGTATCACACGACACAATGATATTTATACTTATAAAATATTGTCTATTGCCCTAAAATACTTCATAATAATTTGTCATTTACAATGTAAAACAGACGTCATGCGTCATTTATAAAAAAAAAAAAAATAGTAGTTAAACAAATAATAATAACAAAAAGCCAGTTTTTAATCATATTTTTATGATTTATGAGGTTTTGATAATAATTTTCTAATTGGATTCGTTTCGTTTTATAATATTATTATTACCATTGAAATTCAAAATCCGTTGAAGTTATAGAATTTTTGGATATTATTATTGTTACAGAGTCATTGATAACAGAACACAAACGTTATTAAAGTTGTTTCAATAGAGATACACCGATACAATAATCCGCCTGTCCTTTAGTTAATTGAATGGCATCGAGAATGGGCTTAGAATTCAGATTGACAATTTAATGAGACACTAAGGATAAACTACAATGATTACTTCCCATTACTTATGATTTTCACATTCCAGGTAAAAAAAAAAAAAATGCTGCGTTAGTAGATGGACAATCTGTCAATCCAATTGTCAATCTGATTTAAAAGAGAATAAAATTCTTTTTTAAATAAAAGAGAATCTATTGATTGACAAAAAACAATATTGGACTACTGTCAGCTTTAATATTAGAGTGGATTTACAAATTATTAAACTTAAAGATAATAGCATCTGTGCAATGTTGACGATATTTTAATTTTTAAGAGAGATATGAGTATGTGAAATATAACAATTTAATAACGTTTATATTTCACTTGAAAATTAAAACATACAAATACTATGCCAATGATGCACAGATTATGTTCTTATTTTTGAGTTTGATGATAGGTGTACACCTATCTATTATTGTCAATATTACAATAATGTATTTTTCAATTGTATTTACTAACAGTTTTTTTTTTTTTTATTTTGTTACAAGTTATTCACTCATTATTATCATCATTATTATTATAGTGTATGTGCGTTATTATTACAACTAGCTCTGTAAGTAGGTAGCAATCACGAAACACAAACGAGTGAGCACACTGGATCCGTTCAGTTTAGTTCAGTCACGTTCAGTTAAGAGGATAGCGCTGTACTTGCATTTACTGCAGTCTAATTATAATGGGTATCACGGCGATAAATTATGTAACTAGGAACATCCATTTGTGGCATTTAGTTTTAATATAAATAACAAAATTTAAAGAGAAGGATATTAGAATAATGTTATTTTGAATAAGTAGGTAAATCTATGTAGGCATATCTTCGAAATGTACGTATGTAAACCATTTTTTCTTGTAGAAAACGTCATCCATGTTTTTATAAAATAATAAAGCCGTGAAATTGTACGTTTTCCTACGTTTTTTCCCACTTAAGGGCTTTTATTTTAAAAAAATGGCGTCAAAAATCAAAAAATGACCTCCCTAAAGTACAATCTAGACAACTTGAGCTTTCAGAAAAGTTGCTACACTTATAATCGGAGCAAGTTACAAGGAAAAAACGTGTCCACAGACTAGAACAAAGAACAAAGAAGAATAAATAAACACCATTGTAAAATCAATAGTTTCTCTCCCTACGCTCGGAATCTAAAATGTAACAAAATTAACAATTTCCCCGACAAGCATTTTAAATTATTATGAATGTGAATATCTGGAATTCCTATAAAGAGTAGCAGCAAAATGCAAAATGCTTCAAATGCTATTCTGAACATTTTTTTTTTTAATGAAATTCCCCTACAACCACGACACCTTTCAACTTCAGCAATATTTCGAGTTATAAATCGAATATCAGTTTGCAAAATATTGCATTTTAATCAAATCTTCAAGATACTGAAACTGCATTTATAGGTTCCGTCGTTTCAACAATTATTATTGAAGTGAATAGACAGCTGCGCTTCAATAAATAAAATAAATTATTTTTAACCTTTTCGAAGTCTTGAATGACTTTTTATAATTTCTTTTTCTTTTTTATTATTATTTATTATACCTATCTGTAATTAATTAAAGTAATACAAACATTATTACTAACGTTAACTAAATCGAGAATAATTAAGTATTGACTACAATTTAATTCTGGTACCGCGATTGCTGCAACGTTTTGACGTCTGTTAATTGTGTTTAATTAACAAATATTATACCATAGCAACCCATAATAATTGGTTGGTACTTACAATTTGATCACAAAATTTATGGAACTATCTACCAGAATATTATAATTTGAGCCTTGTACATGTGCGCAAATATACGTAATATGATTCTGTTTAACTGTATTTTTACTGAACAGACATATAATAATAAACGTATAGAATAAAAATGCTATACTATCATGTTTAATGAACGTGATATGAACAAAATATGTGTCTAAGTGAAACAATTTTGGAAGTTTTTTCTCTACGGTGGGTTTCCTGAAAGTTTGGTTAGGTTTAATTAGTTCTCGGAAACGCCCCTCAATTTTCGGTAAATATAGTCCCCTTTCAAAGTTATTTCCACTTTAACCGCTGCAATATTTAACGATATCATATTTTGTCGATGATATTATATTATTATGCGTACAGGAGTACCTATAAAACGAATGTATAATAATATACAATTGTTGGCTCGTGAATAATATTAACAAAACAAATTCAATTCGAATATAATTCAGTTGTATGTATGTTTATATAAAAATTATATTTAAATTCAAAAGTTCAATTAATTAATTTCGTAAAAATATGTGAAAATCCAGGATTTATACAACTGTATACATAGACAAACAATTATTAATTATTATTAAGTATAGGGTGTCTGAAAGCTCTCCAAAATACTGATTTATCGTATCCGGATTTTGATTGCATTAATATAATTTAATTTTTTTAAAAAAATGCAATATTGTTTTGGTTCGGTATATTAAAAAAAAATATAGATTTTTAATGAAATATAACTGAAAATTATGTATGATAAAGTAAAATTTTATATGCGTATACAAGTTATAACACTTGAGAATTTTATTTTCCGTATATAATAGATACCTTAATTTTAAAAAGAAATCAAATAAACATAAAAACGAAAAACGAATCAGATATTATTCAGTGTAAATTAGATTAACGAATGAAATAGTAGATAATCAAATTCATACGTTTTTAAAGTATTTAGAAAAAAAAATAAATTAAATCTAAGTATTAATATTATTATTTTTTAATTAAATAAAAATGTTCAAAATATTCGTCCCTTATTTTTTTTTTTTTGTACATTTTAAGTTTTAATAATTAGATACAGTTAACATTAATAGTATTATTAATAAATTATAGAACACTGCGAGAAGATGATTGTTAATTATTGTTAATATTCGTAATACTGTACCTATTGTAAGTAGTATAAATAGAGCGTAATATAAATTATAAATACAAATTACATTACAGAAACTGCAGTAGATATTGTGGGTACTTTTTAGTATTTATATCAAATTCAAATAGATACAGTTTTTTTTCGAGGTTGATTTAAAAACATATCATAGGTGTGTAACTATGTAAGCGTGGCCAAACTGTCAAAGTACCTCACAGTACACGATAATAATACGTTTTTAATAATTAACAAAATAATATTCTAACCAATTCAAATATGTTTTAGTTAGACCTCTACTGCCCCCTCCCCCCTATTGTATCTACTCACATTATTTCACTATATTTTATGTTGTATGACGCCAAACATATTTCTGAGGACGATAAAAATAAAAAATAAAAAAAAATACGTATAAAACCATATTTTAACGTCTTGTGTTTACCGAGTACCGAACCTACTTGTTTGTTAACAATTTCCTCTTTTCTCCCACAAACACATTAAAAAAACGTACATGGAATACGTTGCTGAAATGTTTTAATACTATGAATGGACATATTTTATTTGGTAATACAATTTGATCAAAAATAAAACATATCGATAAAATTGTTATTATCGATACAAATTTTTTTAGTGAAATTTAGTTCAAAAAAACGTATTATGACAACACGGTTTGTGTTTCAAAAATATCGTCATTATTGCAAAAAAATAGTATAGATATATACGTTATAACTAGGTAATAATATTTTTATATTTTTATAAGAATAAAATCTATTTCGATATAATATTTAAAAACTTAATAATCCTACAGTTGGAATTTCTATCGGTACTTTATGAAATCCCGGACAATATTTTTTTAAGTTAAAAAAAAAAACTTCTGATATAAGTCACGTGGACGAATTCGTATAGGATTTTTATGTGAATAAGTGGGCCAGTAAACTTGAAAAAATATAATCAACTGAATTAATACGATTTATCGAATACCTAATATAGGTATAATATTTATAGATACGAACGTGATTTCTTCGTTATACTCGTATTATTATAATCGAAGTCGATTATTAAAAAAAAAAACTCGATACTTTTGATAAGTGTACCATTGTTTACGAGGAAATTTTAAAGGGATGGTACATAAAGTAATCTAACTTTTATATCTGTACGCAACGATAAACCATTTCTAACAAGATACTATTGTGAACAGTCCCCATTTTTATCTCTTGTTGCCAAGATAACACAGAAATCAACAAAAATTTAACAGTTTTTCTCATTAAGATTTTGATTGGAATAAGATTTCGGGTATATGCAACATTATTTTATTGTGAAATTTATTTAAAAGTTGCAATAAAATCACAAATACTAAAGGGTTTCAAGTGTATGTTAATAATATGTATATTGTATATAATTATTAAACTCAAGAGTGGATATAAAAAGGGGGCGAGCTATAGGAGGTTATGCCTCCTTCGTTAATATGTAGATTCTTTAAAAACATGACATATATTAAATTATATAATTTCTATAATTTCTGTTGAACTGAAATTTTTAATGCATATGAAAAATGTATTTTATTTTAGCTCCTCCTCCTTATCTAAATCCTAGATTCATTCCGATTATACTTATATTTAGCTATTAAGGTCTTGAAAATTTTTAGAATAAACGCGCCTATACGATGGAATTATAATAATGTCACCTCATGTTCTTATCTACATAATATTATCATTATTATCATAACATAGTGCATTTCAATACTTCAAAAAACAATATTACTATCTCATTTACATATTGATTTAGTATTATACACGTCGCTAATATTTACCTGTAAGATTATAATATATCATAGAAATCCATGCAACAATCAAAAGCTAATGATTTAATCTTAAGCTATAATATAGGTATAAAGCCGAGGAGAAACAAACATCATGCACACGACTACCGTTGACGATGACTGTAGAACACAGTATAAAAAAAAAAAATAAGGAAAACAAAGTCAACACCTATAGATTACGACATAAATAAGAATTTAAATATTTATCTGAGCTGTTATTCACAAGTGAATTTATATAATTATTGGGCTGTTTGGTACAAGTCGGTATATTTTAATTGATTTGTGAAAATAATATAATGTCTAGTGCCTGTACTTATTGATCGTGGTTAACAAAATATAGTTATTCGTATTCAATAATATATGAAGTCGTATATTTAAATTGCAATCGTATTTTATCCGGGGGAAAATATAAGAAATTTACTCCCGGTGTTTTTATTATTAAATGTAGTTTTTCGAATACCTATACATAACTTATGTACATACACTTCCAGTCGGATAGATAGACGGTGTGAATTCTCCCCCTGTACGTCTGATATAAGGGGAAAAATATCATTGATCTTAACCCCAAATATTCGAATATTGCGTTGTTGGGGGACTTCAGCCACCCCCATTAGCTCGGTAGGCGAGTTTATCATGGAATTTAATCGAAAATAACCCCATTACGCGAGTCTACAGGTTTCTCCAAGGGAAAAACGATTTCGTTTCTGCAGTGAATTTTTGCTTTGATGTTATCGCAGAAAGGGAGAGAGGGCTGAAATGTCTGAATATCAAAAAACCTACACTCTTGACGAAATCGAAAACCGATGCTCGCCGTTATCGTTAAAAATTAAACCCGCGGTGAGTACATTACAGCGATGTTAGTGCCCCGCGGGTGAATAAAAGTCAAAATAAAATATTATGCGAAACGTCGCATTAAATTATCCAAAAGTCCTATAAATATAATTGTGATGAGATTGGAAGCCCATTATAAATAACAAACCGACATAATATTTTTTAAAAAAAAATGATTGCCGAATATAATATTATATTGTTGTATATCGACGAAATTCAACGAACTGTTCGGTGTACGTGTAAGTACGTATAGGTATTTCGAATACTATATAATCGCGGTTCGATTATTTGCAATTTTTTTTTTTTAGATTTTTTAGTTTCTTTTTTATATTATATAGTATTTAAATGTTTCGAGTGAATTTATATTTAAGAAAAACTAGCAAAAAAAAAAAAAAAGAAAAAAAAGAATTGTATTGTAATATAATTTTATTATTATGTTCTGTAATCTGTCTACGGTGTATTATTATTATATTAAATTAAACGTCATAGTCGGAATACTGCAATAAAGTCAAACATAAAAAACACGAAGGGTCAGCAAATTGCGTTCAATTACACACATCAACATCTCATCACTCACCATTGTGTATAACTTGTTGCGCCTTGACGATAATTTATCTCTTCCCGAATGGCTTAAACACCGCAGTGACGACGGTCAGTCACGTCTCCGTCCGTTCGCCGTCACAACAATATTCGCGTGCTTGTGTACCTAACATCCATTATTACAATGTATTATAATATTTTTATTATCATTATTGTAATATTATTACTGGCAAAATCTCACCTAGTGATTTTATAATTAATTTCACAATAGGTAAGTAAAATACACACACACACACACACACACACACACACACATAATTAATATAAGTTTATAATATAATACATATAATTCGATTGACGTTCTTTTCTTGCGTTTTCGTCGTCCATTAGTACCCATTTTTATGGATTTGTTTACGGGTGGGTGGGAGGGGTGGTGGGGGAGAGAAAGATAGGCAACTGACTCCCGTTCCTCCCGGCGAAATTATCGGCCAAGAGTATTTCAAGCAATTTTAATATGTTATTCAAAATACCAATTATTAAGTAAGACCGATAAGGTTGCACTGCAATTGAGATTTTATTTTATTTCATTTTTACCCGTTTTTTTTTTTTTTTTAATTAGTCATAGTATAAATAAATTATAGTAATAAAATAATACTTATTGTGTATTATAATAATGAATATTAAATTAATAATCGAAATCTGAATATTATTTATCAATCAAATGATATAAATTTTAACAAACGTGTATAAGTAAATACAGACTAAGTTATTAGACCGATTACGCAGACGCGCTGATGAGACGGGAACAGAATTTCATCATTTCGTATTATTTGATTTTAATTTAAACTTTTGTTATCTTATCTGCTTATTTTTATGGTTCGACAGGATTTCGATCTGCGACTAAAAATGCTATCAAAATTTTAGTCACTAATAGTTTACGAGCGATAATCTGATACGTGATATTATGTTAATACATTTAAGATGGTATTGTGAAGCATATTTACGCAATTTTAAGTGCTATTAAATCCCAACCCTGAATTAATAATTAATATTGTTTCAATTTGGTGATAATCTATGTTTAAGTTTATACGACGTTTAAGTGCCACAAGTTCTCACTTCTCTAGTAATCCCTGAAAAATATCGCAGTCTATCCCACCAGACACAAAAATCTAATCACGCCCATAGTGTCTGTTTTCAACTATACTGGTACTACAACAGGTTTTTACGGAAGTTTTCGTTCTCTGTTCAATTTAAGGCATGATAAATCGTGATTTAATAAAATATTATTTTGAATTCGACGAAATTGCATTGTAAACAGATAAACACGATTCTCGATATAGATAGGTTTGCTGGTGGAGTTTGGTTAAATTAATTTTCGTTTACGTCTACTATACAAAACAATATTTAAATACGGTTTTTCGTGGGTTACTATTTCAAACGATGATATTATGATGAAAAAAAAAAAAATCGATTTTAACCAACTATTAGGATGTACATATGTATATAGAATATTTTCTGGGAGGTGGAGGGTCATAAGTGGTGAACCTACTGATGTAGTTTGAATTATTGTTATCAGACTGTCTAGAACATTCCATTTACATTCCACGTTTTTACTGGGCACGCATTGTATTATAGAGAAGAGATATTATATTTTTTAGTGACGATGTTTGAATTTTTTTTTTTTTGTTTAATAATAAAAGTATTCATATTGTATAATTTCTCTCTAATCGAACGGTTTTCGGGCCAGACAGGAAATGTGTGTGTGCCACTTGTAAATTAATGTCTTTCTCTTATATAACGGCCGAACAATAAGTGCTGTCGCGCGCCGGTAGATCAGAAACCGGTTACGAGCAACAAAAACAATAACAGTGCAGTGTGTTTATATATTTTCACACGGCGATAAAAATAATAATAACGTGAACCGGTAAAACGGACAAGGTCGTATTATTGTTGTTATCAGCAAACGAGGTTCGCTTGTAAATAAGGTGCCGATCGCTAAAAGGTTCTCCTACGCGAAAATCTTGAGCCCGGGCGAGTGCAGGGGTGTATTGTTTTGAGCGAAAATCGCAATAAGTGAAATCTGAGTTAGTGAAATTCCGTTTCGCTGCAATAATAATGCTAATCAGTACTGTCATTTAGACTGATAATAATATAGTATTAAATTGGGTACACAAAATAATAACGCGCGATCCGCACGTGCCGATGACTAATCGACGCGATGTCATTAAGGAAATTACGTAGTCCAACGAGATTAAAAAGATCGCGGGAAATTATTCGGGACCGAAAACGATAAACCGTGCACTTATGTAGGAGGTGTAGTATATACAGTATGTGTACACGGCGGTCCCGAGAGGGGAGGGATTTAACTATACAAGAGGCGTTCGTATCTCCTCCCAAAAATAATAGTAATAATAATATCGTTTCAGATAGCTAGCGATGTTAATGCGGGCGGCAGCGGTGAAGGGGCGAACACCATGGATTAATTTATATCGCGTTTATGCCCACGGGACGAACCTGCGCTTGTCGTAAACAAGTTTTTTCGGTTAGTTTTATTTTTTTACATCTTGTAGAGAAAACGCGTGACGCACGCCCACGATCCGAGTTATCTTCGTTTTTTTTTTTTCAATTTCCACAAGCCACGCGCGTGTTTTTGAAACGAATATAGCATATAATATACATTTAACTGCACAAGGCAGATTTTTAAATTACTAAATGTTATTTACACACGCAGGGCCCCGCTTTCCCTGTCAACAGGTTTGTTAATATAACAATAACTTAAAATCCGAACATGTCGGTAAAAACGGTGATATTAAAATGGGTGTGCAATATGACGTTTGTACATTTTTATACCGAATCACAATATTATAACTCCAATACAATATAATTTTAGGTTAGATTAAGTGATGTCAAGTGGCAGCGTGAACTTCTATGATGCGTGTGACAGCAAAAACGACAGTGAAATTATTTGATTGCCCATTCATTTTTAATCATAAAAAAAAAAAAATCTTGAACTAAAATAAATCGAGTTAATTTAACCGACCTTTTGCAAAACGTTCGGTCGATAACGACAAAAACCGAAAATCGAAAATATCGAAACCGTTTGTTACATTTTAAATTCACATTTTTCCTAAGTTTTTTCCCGATAGTTACGAAAACTGCTTGGAAAATAAAACAAAATATGTCCTCCTCAACGCACAAACTAAAATAAAAAATCCTAAAAAAAAGCTCGTGTCATATTTCTTTTGGAGATTCCTAGTAGGAAAGTTGTTGACACACATAATAAAAAAAAAAAAAACCTCGCATATTATAGTAAAACCGATAAATTCCTCGGTCCACTTAGAATCTAAAAAATAATAATAGATAATTGGTGAATATTGCAACGCGTATAGATTCGCGTCAGATTTACGGCGATTCGTTTTTGTTTTCCGATATTTTATACGTCTTATTATATATACATTTATTTCAATACAACGAGGCTTTTATTTTTAAAAAACGTTGCAGCGTTCACTGTAATACGGATTTCGTAAACTACACCCCTTATACTATATACCCTGCATTTTTACGGAATATTATTATAAATAATTAAAACGTTTTATATTATGTAATATTGTCTTCGCGGTGTATAAATATCGACGTCCTTTCCGGTAAAGAAAAAAAACGGCCTGCGTTACACAGACGGCAGATAAAAAATGAAAAAAAAAATACCCCTCAAAAATCGTTTACGTGATCAGAATTCGAAATCAAGGCGTGTGGGCCGAACGTCATAATATAATATTGTGTATATAAATATAATATAAAGTAGCGGGCCATCATTGTTATTTATTTTCTATATGCAACCTTAAGTATACATAATATACTTTAAACAAGAAAATTTATTGTTACTATTCCACAATGCGATATTTATTCAGGAAAAAACAAATAAGAACGTTATATTACGTCAGTCGAATCGTTTATTCGTCTATATTGGATAATATAGCTACTATGCATAATGCATTATTCCGGTCGATTAGGATACAAATTCGTAATTATTCGGTCCGAAATCACCGAGATGCAATTTGTCGTTACACAGTAAGCGGATACAATTTATTACTATATCATGAGGAAAAACTCCTCAATTTTTTCCCGGTTTTTCTCATTTATTGTAAAAGCACCACCCCAGTAAGATTTCCTTTCAGAAAAAGTGTTATCATTGAAAATCGGAGAAAAATCGCTGGTAGAAAAAATGTCCACAAAAAAATAAAAAAATATAAAAAATAAACATCATTGTAGAACCAATATATTCCTTGCTCCGCTCAGTCTAAAATGATTTAATAGGCATAATTAATAATACATAGTACATGCGTACATAAAAATAAAAAATTAGTCTTGTTTTTACCCCTCAAAAAATCTCATTTTACCTCATAATTACCTCCAGATCGGAAATCACTGCTATAATATAATAATAACAGTTAAAAAATACGTTATAAGTTTTCATTTAAATAATTAATTTGACGTTGTAAACTGAAAAAAAAGAGTTTCGTATCAATACTATTAAAGCGATACTGCATGTTCTACCGAAATATATCACTGATTCCTGAAAGGAATAAAGGCTAAAGAAGATTTTCGGGTTTTGAGTTTTTGTCACGTTCTGAACCCAGCGTGGAATGATTTTGGTGTTTTATTATGAAGTTTTTTTTTTTTATAAACATTTTTGCTAGACATTTTTTTCTAATCAAAAAATGACTAGATACCTTTTTTGTAGCATTTTGAATCTATAGCTGGTGAGGAGATCATTTTTTGATGGTTCAGAAAAACATAAGAAATATGGGTGTTTATGAAAATAACGGTTTTTATGTTTTATTATTTTCGATTTTCGGTTGTAATTGAAAATAATTATAGAGGGGTTTTAATTCATTTAAAAATAATTATAGAGGTCAGCAATAGTTATAATAATTTTTTTTTTTTATTGTGTTCTGGTGACTTTTTAGTTATTTACAGACATTTGATATATTTTTAGGTTTTTTTTAGTAGAATTTCTAATTTGGTTTTATGTGAATAAAATTGGTTTGGAAAGAAATACTTCAAGATTCACCTTAAGTTGTACTTATTTTTACTGGTAAAACAAAAAAAGGTTAAGTGTATTGTAGGAGCTTTTTTTTTATATAAGAGTTTTATATTCAGATGTTATCGAAAATCGTAAAAACCACGGGATTTCAAAACGGGTTTAACCGAACTTTGCTCAGAATCGTATTTAGTTGGCAATGATCTATTGTTACGAACGGATATACATTTATCAATACAATTTATCTTACCTTTCTATCTTCCCACCTACAACAATGACTACAAAAATGATAGGCACACTGAAATACCTACGCTCTATATTTTATTTTTAAATTTTGAGAGGAGCAAGGAATGTATTGATTTTACAATGATGTTTATTTATTGTTATTATTGTAATAATTCACGTATATTATGTAAATTTTATGCATGTAGCCATATGTAAATATCGTATATTAAAAATTTAATATGCTTGTATTTAAAATTGTATTACATAAAATCGAATATATACTATCCTGGCACCGAATTTTGTATTGGATTTGCAGACATTATTATTATGTATTCAGCGAGGATGTTTTTTGTCTCAAATACCGGATGTGCGCTGAATTAGGGAAAAACTCAATTTTCGTAGCACAGAAATATGAATACATAATATGTTTAATATACCCGCTTATTATTATATTGCTCATAACGTAAGGGGTAAATACAAATACATACCTATATTAAATTTTTCATTTCCTATATTTTGGGGAAAAAAAGGTTAAAATAATATTTCTAACATCCCGCGGGCATTGTAAGTTCTCTGTTCATTGTTTATTCCGTTAATAAAAAAAAACAAAACAAAACAAAACGATATAACGATCTATTTGCGTATTTTTAGAGATTTTTAATAATAAATATAATATATTATAAGTACTTCTATACTTGGTACCTATTACTATGAAACTTATTGACCACCAAAGAAAACATAACGGATAATCGGTATTCGTGAAATGAAATATGGCGGAAAATCTTTGGGCGACATAACCATGGAGAGTATAGAGGACCATGGAAAAACATCGAGCTGTATAGATATTATACGTTCAGATAAAATAATATTTTAGAGATCGTCGAAGAGTGCGATGGGAGCTAGAAGGACGAAACTACACTGTAGTAGAGATTACCGAAATTGGATGATTTTGGAGACTTTCGGTCCTAATCTGAATAATAATAATAAATTATGCATTTCGGTTAATTAATAATGTACACGAAAATCGGCGAACAAATAAATTACCATAGAATATTTTAGATACAGATTAAATCGGATTAATGTAGTGCGAAAACGACGAGCCGTTTATCAACAAATAACCGGTTATCTTGCATATCAATAATGTATTGTGCATTATTATAATATAGTTTAAGTATATGTATAATTTGTTTATTTATAGAAAATAAAATTGCAAAAAAAAAAAACGAGTTTTGTCATAGACAAAAATCATTATTTACCGCCATCATTATTCATTATTATTTTATTTAAGATTTAAATAGCGGTACTACTTCCTATATTATTATTGTTATTTGTTACACCGAAGGTTAGTTTGTATACAAAAACATCATAGCCCATACCTATTTATTGTTTCTGGGCAATGAAAAAAAAAAAAAAAACTAAAAGCGGAATAGATTGTACGTTACATAATTAGTTTACCATAGTATATGAAATATTATATATATATATAAAAAGAAAAAATTGCAAACATACTTCTGGTGTGAGAAAGCCAATGTCAATTTTTTAAAAAATCAGTTAGAAATAAAAAAATAAAAAGTGTTCGAATTTTTTTTTCTAAATAAACGTTGTTTAAGTTTTTGTGTAAAATTGAAAATTACACAAACATTACATTTTATAAAATACACAGAGCCTTATAATGGGGAGTTAAAATTTCAAAGTCCATTTCCCAACAATCACAAAATATGACATTGGCCATTCATGCACCAAGCCGCAGACTTATTCGCTGTTGTAAACGGGAAGTTGGGATGTATATGGGACAATATGGTTGTCGAACGATTGAGCAGAATACGTATGTCACATGTCGACCAACAAGACATCGCGGAAACGCTGGAAATTCGCAGAGAGCTCACCGGCGGCGCTGACCCAGAAGACCTATAATACGATGATCGAGAACGGATTTACGTGAAAAATGGTTTTATTGTTGTTATTATTATTTTTAAACCCGGTAAATAATAACAAACGCAGAACGCGCAACAAAAATCTCCGTAATCACAGTCGTATATACTATAATACTATAATCTTATGGAAAATATGGGCATCCAGTATAACGTGTGCGTATAAATAACGTAATAATCTATCCAATAAAATCCAACGATAATATTGGATTTCCGTGGTAAACTCACGGTGTTTGCGATAAAAATATCGTTTTAATCTTTAACTGGCGAATGCATAACAATATATTATTATATTTCGTGAAATTAAAGATATCCCAGACTAGTTATATAAAAATTATTTAATTTAGCAACGCGTTGAGGAGGAAATATATCAATCGAACGTTTTCAATCGTAATAATAAGTAATACAAATGCCGTTTTCAATCGTATATTTTACCGTATTATAATATTACAGTGTAACACTATTAGTTTATATCTACACAGGTACGCGGCAATAAATCATCGCCAACGAAAACCAATTCCGAGCGTATAGTTATATAAATATATTTTGATAAAATTAAGTTGATAATAACCGTAATATAATTTGCAACTATACTATTAAAAAATGAATCGAAACTATTGTTCGTATATTTTTTCGTCTAAAATGTTGTGAAAAGTTCTTTTGTGTATAACAAAAAACATTTTATTTATAAATAAATCGGAGAAAATAGAACGCCGGCAACGAAAATGTATTAATTTTTATCATAAAAAAAAAACAAATTCAACCGTCGTTCATATTATTTTTATATTAAAACCAGAATCCACTAGTGAAATTACCAAAATGTATTTGTTCGCTACGTCTCGTTAAAAAAAAAAAAAAGTCCTTAAAAATAGGTAAGTTGGATCGTATATTTTTATTATTAAATAGAGTACAGGGAGATAATTAAAGTGGCCAAATATCACTGCGGGATTTGCCAAAACAAAAGTGAATTGACACAGTCAGGAAAACTCTAATGGAAATTGGAATACATACAAGACGGAGATGAGTTCAGGATAAGAAGAGATAATAGAGAAAAGCATATATGTTGTAATGATTTTTAAAAAAACTAAGAAGAATACAGGGGAGGTCAATCTCCCTTAAGACTACACTGCCAATACCTTGCGGAAATGCATTAAATCATTTTTTTTTTTTTTTTTTTTCGGAACTTTTGGAACATTTCCGAAACAATAAGCTAATGGTGACAATAAAGCCGATGGCATTGCCATTATTTTGAACGGTTTTGGGTTCGGGGAGGGGTAAGTGAATCTGCAATCAGCCGCCATTTGTATTTTTCAAATCGTGTATGATTAGTTTTACCGTAAACAATATTTATAACAAAACATTTTTTTTCGAATTATACTTGAAATTTGTGTTTTTTCGTTCGTATATGTCCGTCAGTCATATAGGACGGGGATTATACGGGGGGATTTTTTAAACGTTATTTAATATTATCGTATTGCAGTAAAAAAAAAAAAAAACAAAAATAAAAACGATAATATTATAAAAATATTAATAATAATCGTTGCAAGGTCGAAAATGTTACCGTCCAGTCGAAACTATTACTTTTTATTCGCGTAAACGTGTAATATATCTAGGCTGCAGTATATAGGTATCTATATATTTATACATACACACGGAGGAACAGTTATTATGTTATGCGTATGTATAGAACAATAAAAAAGTGATAACGCGAATGCGTATCCGTAACACGTTTTTCCGGATAAACGTGTTTAAACCAACGGCATTAATGTAATCGACCGTTTGTAGATTTATTCGAAAATAAAATCAACAATATGCGAAACGTACGTGACGAAAAACTATATTACAGCGCGTAGAATGCATTATAATAATTATTACACTGATGTACACGAGTATATTATAGTGTTAATTGCAAACGAAATAATTTTGTCGTAACAGTGTAATAAATTCGCCGCGTGTAACAATAATGGATCGCTAAACGTGGATATACGAAATTCAGAAAATAGGTTACAAGAAAAAAAATAAATAAAAAAAAAAAACATCGGCCGCCTATATTATGAAAATCGCCAATTTATTTTAAAATAGGCGTACGTGTTTATGGAATAAGGGTGACGGTTTGATAATATTAAGCAATCGTTTAAGTGGCCTTAATTAACGGTTAAAATTAACGAGAAAAATTAAAACGAGCGCGTATCTAGATAAAAATTAATAATGAAAAAATAAATGAAAATGAAAATATTATTAAAAAAAAAAAATCATTCTTAGGATCCGTGTAGACTGCGTTTATCTGTATACAGTGTGATTCACTAACCGCGCTCACTCCATTTTTTTTTTTTTTGGTTAGATTTTGCATATATATTCAAATTCTGGTTTTTGGAACTTTTGAGTCTAGTCAATGCCGATATTTTTGAATACTTACATTTTTCACAACATTCAAGGAGTATACCAAATTTGGTTTTTCAAATGAGGAACTATATTAAAAATTCCATAAATAGATGGAGTAGGTACTTGTTTCAATCCCAAAAGTTAGGATGACAAAAATAATATAAATGTTAAATTTTAAAGCAGTGTGTTTCTAAAATTTAAAAAAAAAAAAATTGAAAAAAGTTAATACTTTCCGAGATATCGAGTGTACCCATTAACTTGTCTGAAGTTTAATTGAAAACGTTCAATTTAAATTTATAAAAATATTATGCTTAAAATTAAATATACCCACGTCAAGAAATTCATATAATATGCAAATTACCCAATTGGGGATTGCGTCTTGTTATTTGAGGAGAAATGCTGCGGTTATTATGTTTACATATGACTTATTAAATGGTCTTATTTTTTCTCCGGAATTATTATCTCTGATTGGTTTTAATATAAAAACTCACGGATTAAGAAATTCCGAATTATTTCATGTTCCTCTTTATAGAAACAATTATACTTCCACCTCATTTTCTCCCAGAGCTCTTTGGCGAAAATTGTAACGAACCGTGTTGTTCTTTTTTCTATGTCGCGTAATGTTTTCAAACAGAATTTTTATATTTCCTTAAATGCTTTGCTTCTTTAAATTAATGTTTTTTGAATTATTAAAATATCTTGGCTACTTCTGTTGTTCATTGTTAATTTAATACTTATACTTTTATCATACTGGTTTTTTTTTAATACTCGTGTATATATATATGTATTTATTTGGGCATCAAATTTCCACTATTAAGTTAAACAAAAAATTGTGCGTATTAATTGTATTTTGCTCAAGGGTTAAAACCCGTTTAATATACGTAAAATAAAATAAAAAATTTAAATGGACCGCCTTGTATATGCAAAATTTAACCAAAACAATAGGGTGAGCACGCTTAGCGAATCATTCCGTGTGTAAAAAAAAAAAAAACAAAGTATCCCTTTGCTCTAAACTCAACCGTCGTTAGAAAGTCGCAATCCAGGAAATGCGGAATGTCAGTGGTGCCTATATATAATTATATATACATAATATTACTTGTGGGACAGACTGAGAAAACCGTAATGTTATTGGCGATTGACGAGAAAACCGATTCCTATATATATTTCATCATATTATTAACGTCTGGAAACAAAATAGAATTAAATTGAAATCCCCGCACAAATAAGGAATGGCTTATTGTATTATATGTAATAAGATAATTAATAAACTAGAATACCTAATTAATTTGTATGATATGGTAATTCGAGATTCGTTCAGGCATTCCGATGTCGTCTCGAGTGCGACACACTTAATAGTTAATTCAATTGCATAATTGCATGTAACCGTCAGCGACTTACTCTCGGTTTACGAAACGCACTGCATGGATTCAGTCTGTATTTCGTTTATACATATAGTCACAGGTGGGGCAAAAATGACCTAATGTGTATTTTTTAAAAATTAAAAATTGAGTTTCAAATTTTATTTCAATTAAAAATCGCGTGTTAGGTGATTCCTTAATTATCTATGATAACGCTTGGACACTTTTTCGTACATACATAAAATTGATGAAACAAGGCATTTAAAAAATTCAAGTATTTTCACTATTTATATACGACTGTAGCGAAGATAAAACATTATCGTGTATAAATCGTATACATATATTTTATAGATAATAAATTTATTTTATTTTTCCGGAAGATAATAGGTCTCTACAGTTTTTTATTTATTTTTTTAATATCTTTGAATATTTAATATTAAATTTTTTTAAAAACGATAATGTCACAAACGCACAAAGCAAATTTGCAGCGTTCAGCAGGACAAATGTTGTGCCGTTTCCTTGAAAGTGAATTTATCAAACATCAATGTATAATATTTATAAATGTATATCGGTGCTATCCATATTATATGTGAAATACGACCATTTATAAATGTTCATGTCTCACTTAAAAATTAAAACATCGAAAAAGCACCGACGTAGCGGCACAGAAAATTATGTTCTTTATACCTTTAGGTTTGGTATAATAGTTTAATTCGTTTTAATATTAATAATAACGGCGCAAAATTTGTCCTGTCAAACGTTATTTGCCATGTCGTGATGCGTTTAAAGAGACAATATATGTGGTAAAAGTGTGGCGTTCTCTTAAAAAAAAAAAAAAAAATTATATAAATGAATACCATAGGTACCAGTTCCAAAATAATTACGTGAATTTTAAGTTGAAATTATAGTAGAGTTTAGACACCGTGGATAAGAAAAATTCAAAGAGGAAAATGGAGTTTCGAGGATAGTGCTGTTTTTCAAAAACGTCAAACGAAAAAAAAAGTTACAGCCTATCCATCAGGTTTTGCCGTTTTTCGTGTATATACGATATTTTATGTAGAGATAAACTGCAGATATATATTTGTAAGTCACAAAACGTACCTAATCCATTATTTCGCGGCCGACGTTTTACAAGTTGAAATGACTTATGAGTATTACGCGGGAATAATGGAAAGTATATAATATAGGCAAGTCACATCGCTCTCGTGCTAAAAACACTGTAAAATTTTGACGATAAAAAAAAATAAATAACCCTGTAGCGGGTCTACTGGAAATGTAGATGATGGATATAAGCAAGGACGTTTTTAGAGGGTGGGGGGGGGGGTTAAAAGGGAGGCAACGGCTTCCGACGCGAAATTTCAAAGGAACATCATATTTTAAAATACGGTAAAATAGCAGTTATTTTTATAAATATCAAGCCGCTTTACCGCAGGGCCTGAAAGAATGTTTTTTAGAGCTCAAAGGGTATTTACAAAATGTAAAGTTTGCAGTTCGGAATTTTGATGTAATGTCAAAAAATGAAAGGGCGCTAAATATGTAAACAATTCTTCGGGTATAGCTGCAGGCTCTGGGGTAGGTGAAATTTGTTTTTATCGCGAAAGGTTACATTTTTCCCCTTTGATGAAAATACCTTAAAAGTTATAATATGATATACACATTATATACTTTATTATAAATTGCGTTTCGTTATTTTAAACGGAAATAGTTGCGACGGCGTAAACATTATCGATTCAATATTAGTACGTGCGCGCGGGACAGAAAACTGGGGAGAAAAATAAAGAAAATGCAGGTATTTATACGTTTTGGTATTCTTGTAACATCACGCAGTTTTCCCCCTTCCATAAATAATATATATATATATTTATTTATCATACTCTAATAAAATCCTAAAGGTTAATTTAAAAATTTAAAAGGTTAAGTTAAAATTTTTGCGGCTTGTTATATTGAAATACAAAAATGTCATACTCGGATAGATAAAATAATATTATGTTACAGGCTCTTTGATTGTCGAAAATATTTGAATAAAAAGTAAATTCATTTTTTTAATTTTTTACGAGAAGGAATTATTTCAAAGCAATCGACTAATTAACATTAAAATAATTACGGACGCTGTATTAATGGTATAGGCGATTATGTTAGTTATACTTCTTTTACTTTCAGTTATACAATTTGTTAATGTAATATTGTCGTTAAGTGAAAATTTAATTTAATTGTACACTTTTATTTGAAAGCCCTGCGTTATTAAAAATTAATCGTGCTTTAGGAGGCCGTCACGGTGGCATTCACCATTCTTATTTCTTTCTAAGAGTCAATACGGTAAAACTTTTCGTTTTTTTTTTTTTTTTTACACAAATTTTTAAATGCCTTTAAAATTAGCTTCAAAGATAAAACACCTATAATATGTAATTTGTAGATAACAACATTTTGAAGACTATCTTATCGGCGTTTTACGATTCTTTAAATATTTAACTATCAATGTCGAAGGTACTTTTGTTATATTTTTCATTTTTTTTTTTTTTTCTATTTAGAACTTTACATTTTTTAACTAATTAATATACAAAAAATTCCGATGAGATAGATAGTCTTCAAAATGTTGTCATCTAAAAATTATATATTATAGGCGTTTTATCTTCGAAGTCAATTTTAAAGGCCTTTTTGTTTTTTTTTTTTTTTACACAAAAAAAATGAACAGTTTTAACGACAATTGTGACTGTTACAGCCTCTTGATGGACAAGTTTTCCAAATGTTCTCTAATTTGTGTAATAACAATAAATTATAACATTTATCTACTGCTGCTCGATATCCATTAGGGAAAGAGGTATGGTCGTTTTTACGGATGGATATGGCTATGCGGAATTAATATGAACAACCGTTTTCTATACCATTCTTTTTTTAACTGATAAACATCAACGTTTTACAGCCCGTATTGAGCTTTTATTTTCTTATTTTTCGATATCAAATAAATAATGGTATAAAAGAACTGATAAAAAAAAAAAGAAAGGTAAAATTTATTTTTTAGAAAAACATTATAATGTATACTTTTACTCATCTACGAGATTAAAATGTTGATAAACAGAGTTCAATGAAGACCTTTTCCGATAAAAAAAAAAATAATAATAATCATCAATTCTATACTAAGGATGAGAGTTTTCCCCGTATGATATGTTTTCGAAATAAAAACATGTTGGCAACTTAAATAAAAAAAACACTCGATAAACGAAAGCGCAAAAAATTGTCAAAGATATAATAATTTTTTTAATAATAAATAAATCGATTATACGCGTAGAAGCGAGTGTGTTTATGAATAATAAATGTTAATATATTATTAACGTTTTAATATTTTAACAGTCTATTAACATAATACCTATCATGCCAATTCTTTATTTCTGATAACGAAAAAATACAACATGAAAAATATTTATTCTTGCAAGTTTTTATTGGAAAAAAAAAAAAAAACGAACCCAAGTATTCGGTTGGTTAAGAAAGAGTTTCAATATTGTAGCGGCAAAAATAAAACTTATGATATCCGTCTATAAAAGTTAGTCTTTTGTAAAAGAGTTTTGATTATTGAAAAATATAAAACAACGCAGAAGTTTACCGCGACTGCAGCTGAACCGGGAACGCTTTTTCTTTTTATCTTGTTCAAACAAAATATAAGTAAACGTTTATTTAAATGTTCCGACAGTATACTCACCTAGCTGCTATACATATATAACAGGCAGTAAATCAACTTAACCGGGAGGTTAACCTAACGACTTACGTGGCCTATATATGTATATATGTTTTTTCTCGAATGGAACGCGATTACACTACAAAAACTAAAGATACGAAAAAAAAAATTATTACTATACGCATGGAATATTATACCGGGCGATCCATTTATCACGAACCTGAGATTATCTCGGTGGATTTTAATCGAATTTGATTTCTGTTGCAACCCTCCCCCCCCCCGCTCTCGCTCAGTTATTACTATAGCTCGTTTAAGCGCATTATGTTCAATTTTTTTTTATACTCCTACTCCTTGTATACATTACACTATTATACATCACTATGGATTTTCAAACATCAACCTTCTCCATTTTTAAATACAGATTCGAATATACGTTATACGAATGTAATCGGATTTATCGTCTAACTGTTGTATAGTTCATAAATGATAAAAACGATATTATATTATACAGAGCTACACGTGTTAAAATGTTTTGAAAATTATTCTCTATTCGAGTATGTATTATAACCACTTTAAAACATTGTAATTGTCGACCTTAATAGTCTAAACTAAAAGCTCTTAATAAAAAAACTAATTTAAAGTTTAGACCGGATGCGTAGGGAAGGGTTATCAGTTTATCATACGAAACGGTTAATAACTCATAAACGTAGTGACATATTTAAGGAGACGAAAGGGGCCATTGCCCCGGGAGTTCAAACGTCTAGGTCGGTAAAATTTAAATGATTTTAGGTAGCGCGATACATATTGAAAAAAAAAACAGGCAATGAGTTCGTTATTTCTAATAAAGAAAACGTTGAAGTATATGTGCGCCTATGGAAATATTGGGGGGAGGGGGGGATTTTGTTAAAAATCCTATAGAAATGCCACAGCTGCACATAAACGGTAAAATCTATAATATATAGTTATTAATTATATTGTTACGCGTATCAAAATGTTTATATAAAATATATTTTCTATGCAAAACTGTGTTTTTTTATTTTGTTTTTTGAAAATAGGGTTCATGATAAATCGCCCTGTATAGGCGATATAAAATTTCTCCGGATTTGTAAAATAAAATAGTTAGTGGGAATAATAAATAATAAATAGGTATAAAAGTGGTCCTTATGTAAATATACAGCTATTTGCACTAACAGCTATAGTGTACGGCGGTTTGTTGTCCTTGTCAAAAACTGTGTGTATATTTTATTAAAATCATATATAAATCCTTTCTCGCGCGTGTTTTTATTTATGAAATCCATACATTATAAATTAACGGGGAGGGGGAGAATTGAATAATTATTCGCTATCTGCCTCGCACAAACAAGTACGAATAAAATATTACTAGGTGTCGATGTTTGAAAACCTCAAACGCTCGGGACCTAATTGGTATAAAGCTAATTAGTTAGGTAATTCGAAAAATCTATATATATATATGCTATGATATATATATTATTTATGAAAAACAGGAAACGTTTCATGACGATAAGTAAATTATATTATTAATTGTTTCGGAAGCGACGGGTGTCTGCCTTTGTCTTACACACATGAAATATAGGGATTTAGACGTGTTTTATTTCCAAAAACGATATCCTCAATTTCTCATAAAAGCCATACTAGTAAAAGAGTATTTAAAAAAACGGAATATTTTAATTTGTTGAGAAATTAAAATCAAAAATAAAAATAATAGGAAAAGTCGATCTCAAGCAGGCTTTATGAAAAATTCAAATTCGCCTTCAGTATTCTTACCGCTTCACTAGATTAATTGGTACATTGGAAACACGTCTAAATCCCTATATTTCATGTGTGTTAAACAAAGTTAGACACCCGTCGCTTCCAATCCACTTAGAAAAATAATTTAATTATATATATATACAACGAATAATATTGTGTAGGATAGTTATTAATGATTAACGTCGTATTGAAAAAGACAGGCCCGCAAGGATGAGGTACGTACGCCGCACAAATAATAATTACAATGGAATATAATGAGTAATTGGGACAGTATTGAAGACGACAAGGAGAAGTTTATAGGAGACCGGATATGTCAAATAAAATAATCGATCGGCTGAAAAATATTTTCATATAATATAACGAGTAATTATTTTCAGAAAAACAAATATTGGATACTATTAAGGGGATTGGTGGGAGAGTATGTTTTAATTGATTTAGACTCGAAGTCGGGCGGATCTGTAGGAATCGTGTTTGACGGGACAGATCCGGGATTAAATAACCGAGGAGTTTGGGGCGGTATTGAAAATAAAGAACGTATTTTTATAATGAATTTATAGTAGTAGTTATTGGGGGAAGCGAACGAGGGGAAGAGGATCTCCCCGCCAAAATTCGCCACTGGCACCGTATACTAAATAGTAGTTTGGCGACATTGTAGATAACGGATATTTAAATTTGCACAAGATATAGCCGATGTATGCAAAGTGCCGTTTTTCAAGTAGGTAATAAAAATAACGATAATACGTAGGTACGTATTAATTGTCAGATTTCAAACGAAATATATTAGATTCTGAACGTATCGCGAGAGCTATTCGTTTTAAAATGCTATTTATTTTTTTTTTTGTTCTTTGTTCTAGTCCGTGAACAAGTTTTTTCCTAGTAAACTTGCTCGATTTGCATATGTAATAACTTTTCAGAAAGCTCAAGTTGTCTAGATTGAAAGAGACCATTCTTAAAAAAACACGGATGACGTTTTCTACCAGAAAAAATGATTTATTGGAAAAATCGTAAGATACATTTTTTGTTGCCTTTTAAATTTAATTTCTAACTGTATCATTGCCAAACTTTTGAGTCACTTTTGTGCTTTTAAGGAATTTTAATTTTTGAGAGTTTTTTTGCTGTGATTCGGTTATAAAAACACGTAGAGACTTGAAACTTAGAAATAATACTTATATTGGACTTACCTAGATGTGGTAAAATTTCTAAAATCATCAAACGACTTTTTTCCCTTTTTTAAATTTTTTTATAATGGTACTTTATTATTATTAATTTTTTATACTGTAGACCACTTTTATTCTAGAAAACTTGCTCCGATGTATAACTATAGCACCTTTTATAAAATTCAATTTTATCTACTTGGTAAATACATAGGTCATTTTTTAATTTTCGAAACGGTGTTTAAAATAAAAAGAAATAACCTGGGGAAAAAATACGAGTTTTTCACGATTCCATAATTTTTAATAAGTTAATTAACGGACTGCAGTTGATGAAAAATATAAAAAAATAATTATTGTTCTTTATTGAGTTAAGGTGGTGTGGAAAACTGCACAAATTTGTATTTATTATGTAACCATTAGAAGTATAAAAAAAGGTTAATACTGTTCATGGAAAGAAGTTTTAAGGGATGATATAACATAGTGTCTTATTCTCCTCAATAACAAGAGACCATATTTTTATAGAATTTTTTTTTTTAATGAGCGTTTTGAAATCAAATTTAAACGAAAATCGCAAAAAAAAATACGGCACTTTAAATTATGTACTACAGAACTGCGCTCGGAATCGTCTTTCGTCAGCAATGGTTTATCGTTGCTTATAGATATAAATGAAATAACCTTATGTATCCTAACTTCCCAACTTCTCACCTACAACAGTGGCTGCACCCGTCCCCAGTATCGGTTTTTTTAAATAATTTAACGAATAATATATATATGTATTATTCAGGTATAAATATAGGCAGAGGGCGAATCCACTATAATGGAAATCGGCATATAAACGTTTGGTAGTCTTAAATTGATAATTAAAAAAAGAAATTTTATGGAAAATCTCGTTAGCCATTAGGAAAACCACGGTGTCCTTGATGCTGGTGTATACAATGTTATTTAGCGATTTACCCTCCGAATATAGACTGTAATAGTGTACAAACGAATTCGTTTTTATTAACTATAGGCATCGCATGACGATTTGATTAAATTTACCGCAGCGTGTTAAGGCGAAGATTTAATTTGACCCGATTCGTTTTCATCTGCGGGTTTCATTACGCGAGTTAAGAACTACCGGCGGCGGAAAGGACGACAAAAGTGTACATGATATTTCACAATAATAATCGTGTATGTAAACCGTGGAGAGCGGGGGATGGGGAAACGTATACGAGTTTAATAATAATAGCAATAACATTGTATCTTACTTGTATAATGCGGTGCACGGAAAAGGAGATTACGAGACGACGAGACGAAATGTGAGTCACGAACGGAATCCGGTATTTACGAACAGTGAGCGAGTTTAACGAGACGTTTCAAAAGGACACGCTAAAAGGAAACGAAGGTACTCGCCTTTTAATTTAAATTTATTAATATAATTATTATTCGTAAGAACGGGGTGACGTCGTCGTCGACGTACAAAACGTTTGATTCGAAGGAAGTGCGAGAGAGAGCGAGAGGGGGGAGAGCGAGAATGAGAGGAAATGACCGAGAGTGAACGAGATAATAATAATAAATTGGAGTATTGTATTTCGATTGCGAATACTGCGCGGTTGTCAAAAACACCACGTATAATAAAACTAAAATTATTAAAACACATTTTCAAATCTGATAAAAATAATACAATATTATTATTTTATATTTTTAGTTACGCAGAATACGGGCGTATAATATGAAAGCGAATAAATACAAATAATAACAATAAAAACAAATATCGCTTATTATTATTTTTTTCGATGAAAAGCAATTTCGTTTTTTTTTTTTTTTGTAAATGGTATCTGGCAGAGTGCGCCTTTAAGGGTGGGTTTTCCTGTGTAAACACTATTTACAGTAGTTTATCTCGATTTTATCATTTACCGCGGTTATTGATGTGTACGCAGTAAATTTAATATTTGCGTCGACTAATGGGAACAGTAGTTATGATTGCGGTCGAACGTTGAATAATTTTTTACGAAATAAAAGAATTTTTCGTTTTATTTTTTTCTACCCAAATCCCATCGAATTCACACTCGGAACCCCTCCCCCCCTCCTCTTTGAATACTCAACGGATCTTATTATCGAATTTATTTCGAATAAACATTGATCTCTAAAAACAAAATTCTCATTGGTTTTGTGAGTAGATAATCGATTTGAACGTATAGGTTATATAATGTAATTGATTACCTAGAAATTATCGTGTTCGGATCTCCCGTATCGCGTTTACGATGGATTGCAACGATTTTCATTTAGAATGATTCGATTTTTATACCTAGCGTCCTAGCCCCTGTTTTTCTTTTTTCATTTAGATAATATTGTAATAAAACAAAAAAAATAATTAAAATAAAAAAGACATTATTTTTACCGAAATGCTTATGGATTTTGATTTTTAATAATTTATGGTAAATTGTATTGTTGAAAGTTTTTTAAAGGGCCCGGACAGACATTTAGTACAGGGGCCCAGAATTTGATGCGGAGGCCCTGCGTGTATACCTATGTACAGTTCTTTATTATTTCGTTGAAATTAACCAGATGAGAAGGACGACTGTCTAGAATCTATTAATACAGAGAGATTGAATATTTTATCTGTACACGCCAAACGGCAGTGATAACGATTGTGTGTAATAATGTCCAACGAAAATAACGGAAAATACAGATAAGTATATTAGAGGTACTAATTTTTGGATTAAACAATTATAAGAAAAAAAAAAACAGGGATAGTCGTTCGCGTTAGAGCGGTCAAGACAAATGATTTGAAGAAAAATAGGACGAAGACAAAAGAGGATTATTATAATATATTAACTGCAATATCCAATTCGGTTCCGGGGAATATATTAGGTGGTTTAAGTCGACTGTCGGCATTTTGTTTTTGAAACTTTAAGTCCCGGTGTAATTTTTCTCGGTTTTTTTTTTTTTTTTTTTTTTCTGCTAAACAGTACAAATGTATGGGAATTCTAACACGCGTTTGCCGAATATTAAATTACTTACGTCACTATAATGTAATAATAATAACATAATGTACTTACTGTTTGCGTAGCAATTTACCCCGCGTTTAACGAAAACGATATTCTTCACCGAAACCGTTTTTAAGTATAACGTCCACTGCTCATACAGAATAGTCGTCGACTGTCATTATAACTTAACATTATGCGATAGGTGTACGTTATATTATTTAATAATCTCTGATCGATAATCAAACGAAATGTACGGACCGCCCGTTGTCGTTGCAATAGGTGTATAATATATTATATTTTTAAAACAGAAATACCTTGCCGGTGTTCGAAAATATTTTCTTTAGCAGTCAAATAAACCGACGTTTGCGTTTTGCGATAAACGTTTCGGGCGCGGTCGGAGTTTAGACCGAATGTTTGCGCTTTCAATCGGCGTTTTCTCCCCCGAATATCCACAATCCCTTTCGCAATATTGCGAAAACAACACACGTTGATGCGGCTAACGATGCATACCGCGACCCCCGAAAAAATATCGACAAGAACAATCGTGATAATAATGCATAGCGGTGATGCATTACAAGGTCGACGCGACCCGCCAAACAATATATTGTACTTACAATAATAATAATTACTGTACCTTCCACTCGGGACCCCGCTCGGGTAAGGGGACGGTTTTTATTTCCGAATTTTTTTTTTTTTTAATATTTTTTCCGTCTACAAATATCGTACGTGTATGCGTTTAAATTTGAATTGTGTTTTATACGCGGTATACGCCTACAGCCCGTTTATTATAATAATGCTAAAAGCCGAAAAAAATACGTGAATAAATAACGCGGTGAAATTGTAAATAAGTTATGTTCGAGAGGGTCTCGTACACTGCACAGACCTTTTGAAAGTTACGCGTTCCGACCCGACCATGCGTAAATAGGTACCGACTCTTTTATATTAATTTATTATAATCGTGAAAACCAGACGAGACGGTAATAATACGAAACCAAGTAAATTATAAGATTGTTTTTTTTTTTTTTTTAGCCTTTTATACGAGGACGAATAACGTCGGACGGATTTCGGGGGTGGAAAAAAATGTTAAAACAAAAAAATCTCCCACTAAAACCGAATAAATTAAATCCGAGGTTACGGACTCAACAACTTGATATATAACCACAGCCCTCGCGATTTTTTTCCGGACTAAATACAATTCTATAAGCCCCCAATACCGTTTATTCCCAGAGTTACATATTGTCTCCCGATTATTACTGTAAACCCAAATGTCCAAATTATCGCTATAATTGTTATTAGTAAGAATAGTTTTAAATAACGTAAACACCTAATTCCGCGAAAAAAATCTCGAAAAATAACTGAACGTGTAACCGGCCTTTTTTTTTTTTTAAAAACGACGGTGACTTAAAGCAAGCCTTTGCCCTGATATCATAATATGGGGGATAAGTTCGGGTATGGCGGTCAGTGCGTTAAATGGAGATTTTGTTCGAGAAACGAGACGCCCGACACTTTGCACGTTTAAAAACCGGGAAAGTTATGAATTGACGCGTTTTCCTACTTTGCAAAGTAAACAGCGGACGAAGCGCGAATTGCCCGATTTGCGTGATTTATTATACACGGATACCTACTCATTTATCGAGATATCGAATTACGAAAAAAAAAAAAAAACGAAAACAATTATTCGGAAGGTATTCAACAGTTGTCAGTTTCTTAATAAAAAAAAAAAAAAGAAAAAGAATAAAATAAAAAAGAAAAATACCGAGAGGAAACCGTTTTCCCGGTATTGCACTATAATAGCGATCATTTTATTCTTATTGCATTTATTTTCTTCGGCTATAACCTTAAAACTCGATCAAATTCGTTTGGTTTTTATAACGAATTATAAATTGGCACGCGAACATATAATGTGATGATGATCGTCGCGATATATCGCAGGAAGGACTTTTTCTCGTATAGAGTACAGTTCTAAAATAAATTAAACTACCGTATTATTTTATGTCACCCGCGTTCGGGGGAGTGAACTGACTTTTGATTTTCAAACGACAACCCATATTAAAAATTCCGCAAACGGACGGATGACGGTGTATCATATAGTTTACGTTACATTTCGGCGTTGACATTTTTGATTTCCTCTTCCGGCCCGCGTTGACGAGATTCCCGGTTTTAAGTATGCGTATAAGGGGAGAATAGTACCGATCCTCCAAACGTTTATTCACTACCCCATACCCGAACTCGAAAGCGGAATGTCTCGTCGACAGGCCGCCGGTAATCAAAAATATAACGTATAAACTACACCTACAATGTTCTTCAGTTTATTTGCGGAATTTCATAATACTGCTGCGGGTTTAAAACGAAATTATCGGCGGTTAGTGAGGACGGCGTGAATTGCGGAAAACGGAACCCGCTGCAAAACCTGTAACGGTTTTTTTTTTTTTTTTTTTTAATAATTAAATAATTCTAATTTCGAGTTATAAACGACGTTAGCGTTTTTCGACACCTACAAACGACGAGCGTTTTATTAGTATTTATTAAAAAAAAGGACAAAATTAAAAAGTACCCGAGCGAGAGAGCGTAAATAAAAAGGCGCTACTCTTATTGTTCCGTGCCCGAGAAAAACGAATTGCCGTTGGTCTCTGGATATTATTACATTCTTATATCCGTATATCAAAAAGCGGAATTAAAAATGTAAAAAAAAAAAATTAATAAATAAGGACTCAGACGGGTAGAGGTGCGTACGATTACATTTTTTATTTTTGTCAAAAACGAAATCACATTAGATAATGAACGCGGAATCGTTTGGCGTTCGCTCGGCTCTTTAAAATCCAATATTACGATCCGTGCCTACTGTGAAAAGCGACGCGCGTTCGGCAATTCAATGTAAATTGAAATATGAATAAATAATCGCGGGCGGATACTTAACATAATACACTCGCGTGCGCACATAAATAATAACGGCAGCCGGAACACTTTCGTTAACGAAAGAAAACACGCAATTACGTTATGTGTAATGTAATTGAATCTTTGTAATCCTCGACTTTGTTTTCTCCCTCGACATTCGCGCCGCCCGCGGCAAAGAGAAAAGCCGTCGAAAAGCCCGGCGTACTTAGCGCCGCCTCCTGCACGGGCAGGTCGTCCCGTTATGGGCGGAAAGTTTTCAAAGGCGCGGGGTTAATACGCCGATGTTGTACCGACGGACCGACATCGAACGATAAATCGCTACGGTCGAAAAACGATTCTGAGCGTATCGGTCGGGTCGTATTTCCATTGTACGGCGCCTCTCCCCTACCCCCCTCCCAGAGATCAACGGTCTAGAGGAATTTAGAATATTTATTCGAGTTATCCGCGAAACAAACCGCATCTCGGATTCGACGCTCGAAACCGGACCGTTTTTAGCGGTCCGAAAATCGAGAAAAATAAAAAAAAAAAATACGGCGCGTCCGAGTAAAACTGTTAAACGGCTTTTTCTCCGGACTGCGGTCGGAATCTAGTTGGGTGCTCGAATAATCGAACCGTTCAAACGGCCGCTAACAATTTCGGGCAGGGTGTATTATCGATCGTATATTGTGTCGCTTGTTATCGCCAAGACGCAATGCGGCGGAAATCGACAGTAATCGTACGAAAAATTGCAAAGTTTTTTCCGGGTTTTGATTTGATTTTTTTTTTTTTTTTTTTTTTGAAAAAAGCTAGAAGAGAGCGGCGGGGGGAGGGACGACGACGACGGCCCATAAGTTCGCTAAAAAGTTTTATACAGGGGCGCGAGATTTCTGGCAGAAAAGTTCCCAGACGCGCGGAAAGTAAAAAAGATATAATAATAACGCGTCGCTGGCAGAAAAAAACCCGACCCGGCATTCGCAAATCCAGTTATAAAAACAAAACATTACCGTTCTAAAGCGCGCCGTGCAATAACAGCGCGGCGTTCTTCGATTGCGCGTCGCGCGACCAGTTCGAATAAACAAAAATATTTCCATCGAAAATAATTATTTTCCCGCCGCGGGTATTGCGCGAAGTGTTCGCCGAAATTCGGCGAAAAAAATCCGGTGGGCACACGGCAATACGGAACCGCGGTCCGACGCCGCGCGGTCGTTTTTTACGCGTCGGATCCCCGGGACTTTTCGTTGTCCGCGGCGCGGATACGGAAACGGGAAAATTCGGCGCCGGCCGCGTGAAAATTCAGATTAAACCAGCGCGCGCGGAAAACCGCGCGGCCGCGGTCGATTTACCGGATTTCGGGCGGCGAAAAAATTTACAATCGTATCGTGTCTCTTTGACCCGGCGGACGGGCGGCAGGGCGAGGGGAAGGTGAAACGCACGCCGCCGGGATTTCTCAATATTATCGTACACTTCGTGCACATCTACCGTACAGCGCGATTAGCCCAAATATTATTATTATTATTATTATTTTTTTTTTTTTTTTTTTTTTTTTTTTTTTCGCGGCGGAGAGGACAAGGCTTCAACACCCCGCCATACCGATCGATATCGATTACGCGCTTAGGTGTACCACTTTTATACTTACTTGTTTACCGAGGACTATTTTCGCGGGGGGTGGAGAGGGGACCGTATCGGTAAGAGCGGCAGGGTCGCGCGTCATATTTCAACGTATTATTATATTTTAATTCCGTATAATACTTATGCAAATTATTATATCGGTACATACGCGGGTTGAACCGGCCGAATTTCGGATATCGCACCCAAGGCCGTACCTGACCGGTGGGGCGGGGAGGGTCGCGGTTCAACCTAACCCACCCTCCCACCCACCGCCACCCGAAAACGGTTCGCGTTACGCCGTGTCTCGCGGAAAAATTATAATTATTTCAGTCGATAAAAACGCCGCGAATTTTTTTTGAGTTTTCGATAATTTTCTCTATGTAATTTTATTATTTTACAGTTACGGCCTTGAATTTGTGCACCCGATAATCGGCGTGTGTACGCGTAATGTATGCGGACGTAAAAAGAGCGCAAGATTCGGATATTTTTAACACGGACGGTGCCGTTTCGGGAGCGATAAAAAAAAAAGTTCGATTATTTACGGTATCGCCGTTTGTCGGGAATGGAGGCTGTGTGTTCAATTTTTTTTTTTTTTTAAAGACAGAGGGACAGAGGGAAACACTCCGTAACAATTCGGCACGCAGAAATTACTTACACGACGCAAACCTGTAAATGGGAGTAAATACACTAACTTAAACGCGAGACGATCGATAACAATAATATAATGACAAGTGCCCAAATTAATTATCACGAAATTATTATGAAATTATGAGGAGCAAGTAAGTGCGTAATAATGTAAAACGAACGGTTTAGAATTTTTTTTTTCTTTTTTTCAAAATTAAATAAATAGTATTGTATGATATAATGTTATAAATCGTGTTCGAGAATAACAATTTTTTCTTTTTTTTAAAATTAAATAAATGGTATTGTATGATATATTGTTATAAATCGCGTTCGAGAATAACAATTTTTTCTTTTTTTCGAAATTAAATAAATGGTATTGTATGATATAATGTTATAAATCGTGTTCGAGAATAACAATTTTTTCTTTTTTTTCGAAATTAAATAAATGGTATTGTATGATATAATGTTACAAATCGTGTTCGAGAATAACAATTTTTTTTTTTTTTCGAAATTAAATAAATGATATTGTATGATATGATGTTACAAATCGTATTCGAGAATAAACAATTTTTTTTTTTTCTTATAATATAATAATAAATATAATAATGATTGTAATAATATTATTATACTTACGTGTGGCGGAAAACTAGTTTCCCCGTGGACGGGACGGCGCGGGCGATCGTCTGCAGGTGGCCGCGTGAACCGGTGCCGGATCGGAAGTACTCGAGGGGTGTCGGTGAATTGGGTCAACGGGAGCGCAAATGCAGGAGGGCGAAAATCGGAAATGCAAAAGAAAATATTTTGGGAAACTATCGGGTAAATACGTACGACGGATCACACGTCAGACACGTAAAAAGTATTGCCGACGGGGAACGTCTACGATTTCGTCCGGCGTCTAAGTAAATACTGAAACTGAACAACAGCGCACGTTGGCAAACGCGGACGGCGACTATTGAGAGAGAACGACAGTAGCGAATGAGAGAGAGAGAGAGAGAGAGAGAGAGAGAGAGAGCGAGAGAGCGAACACTGATGAAGAACACAAGTGCAGTAGTAGTGTACGACTATCACGGGGGAACGGCGCCAGAAGAGTGTTGTTCAAAGCTCGAGATACTGTTAACCGTCAGCGGCAGGGCCGCGGCGGGGTAGGGTGGTAGTAGGGCAGGGTGGATAGCGATTTCCGTGAACGGAGCTGCTGCGCGGAGAGGAACGTGATACGTGCGCAACGGACGACTGGTGTCTAGCGAATGCCGATCTCGGGCTCCAGGAGTTCCGGAAAATACGTACGAAAGTAAGAGCGGGATGGGCGAAAAAAGGTTCGCAGTGAAGAACGAGTGCAAAGTCCTAACGCTGGCCGTCGAATAGCGCGGAAGGCTCCGGGCGACGCGGCGGCGGTGCCTGCGTTCGACGCTATCGCTAGCGCGCTCCCCGTGGCGCGCTTACGAATTGACGCGCGCACCGCCGCCGCCACCGCCGCCGCCGCCGTTGCCACCGTAGCCGTGGGCAAACGTCGCGTCGTCATTGCCGTCGTCGTAGCGCCGGCGGGCGGGAAGAAGACCTTGGGCGGTGGAAAAAAAGTTTATGATTATTTTCCCGAGCTCGAGACTGCGAAAGGGGGGCGAGAGGGAAGAACGCCGTTCCCCGGCCGAACGTCCCCCGGCCACGTCCCGTCCGACCCGCCGTGGCCGCAGCGAACCCGACCGTCCCGAGAATAAGTCACATCGTCCCAATCAACATCATTACGGTCTGCCGCTGCAGCGAACGTATAAATTAATTTCGATGCGCGCGCCCGCCGCCGTCCCCGCACCTGTCTGCGCCGTTAATTTAAATAATTATATCGTTCGCTGTACTGCGGGTGGAAAAAATTAATAATCGACGTCGCGCGGAACGCCGGCTAGTACGGTGTAAACATTTTAGACGACGGTTGAAAAAAAGGCCGATCGGTTTTTTTTTTGTCCGTTTTAGATTTTGACCGTATGGCGCGAGCAACGCGTGTCGGTTTCACTCATACGATGTGCGTGTACACTAACCCCCCCCCCCCCCCGTATATTAGCACACTTGGCGTTATACGAAATGTTGGGTGTGCAGTACGGAATTCAAAAAGCTGTCCTAGGACAGTGGGGACGGGTGCAGCTACTATTGTGAATGGGAAGTTGGGAAGGCGGGATATTGACGGGAATTTAATGTATGTCTGTGCGCGACGATTAACCATTGCTCTGTCAACATGTATTTTATGGTAAAATAATTACATTAAACATATTTTCTTTAATAATATTTGTACCTATTTTCCCAACTTTCCTACGTTATTTCCCGTTTTTCCAAATTTTTCCATTTGTTGGGAAAATTTCTGGGAAAATCAAAAAATAACCTCCCTAAAGTACTAACCCAGTCAGATTTTCTTTCAGAAAAAGTACCGTCATTGTAAATCAGAGTAGAATTGTTGGTGGAAAAATTGTTCACAGATAAAAAAAAAAATAATAAACTTTATTGTAAAACCAATACAGGAATGTATCATTGCGCTCCATTCAGAATTAAGGAAGTGTGCGGCTATACTATGAAATTTAATTGTATTAGTTTTTAATTTTACAGTTTTTTGTTACCATTTATTATTGGAAAACGAAAATTTGAAAATGTATCTTTATTGATATTTTAAATATCAACAAGTTGACTCGTAAAATGTCGACAGTTATCACAGTTATTTTTCCAAAGACGATTCAGAATAGATTAAAAGTACTTTTATGATCAATATGTTTCATTCGTAGCTAAATTAAATAAAGAATCAAAACCGATCATACATGTATTTATTAAGTATTGTATTCATAATGAGCAGATTGTATTACTTCTGTATTTTTTTTTTTTTTTAAATGTTACTAGTTCATTTTTATACAAAAAAAAAAAACCAATTAACTAATTTAGTCTCTCTGAGAAAATCTAAAACAACGTCTTTAGGTACTATTTCAGTTTAAAATCCAATCTTTAGAAGAAAAATAGGGAGGGCTATTATTATATGATAGAACACAGAGGAAAATGTAAACTGAGATTTCCGAGTGGTTATTCGTTCTTTGATGTGACGCTGAATAAAAATTCTCCCCTCCTTCTTATCCCCGTATCAAAAACTGAAATGATTCCATTGCGGGTACATCGTGGGGATAATAATACCTACGATATAACACGGTTTGATATAAAGTGTGTAGTACGAAAAAGTATATATTTTAGTCTTCAGTGTTAGCTACACTATTGGGGTGTGGATCAGCGCAACTAGAGGGTTGCGAGGGTGATTTTGGCACCGCCATAAAAAAAAAAAAAAACCAATAAGATTTTTCATAAATATTTTGTCCGTGTATTTCATAAATAATGGATTACAAAATCACGGATTACCTACTGAAAAAATGCATTTGTGTGTCGAAAATAATGTTAAAATAATAATGACATATTTTTATAAGAAAAATTATAAATTAAACTTATATAGTACTGTAGTTGCTTATATTATATAAGTGTTGTGTAAAGGGGATTGTGGGGGACGGGGCATAGCCACCATGGTTCGCCACCTAGTTGCGCCTGTGTCGGGGTGGTTTCTGATATAGCGAATTTCGTCTAGTCGGCGCGTTGAGAAAATTATTTTTCATTTTTTTTTTTTATTGTTTTGATTTTCCTACAGTTTACTTAATGACGGTAAAAAATTTGATATTTTCGAGATTTTCGTGTGGATAAAATATGTATCATTTATTCTTACCAATGTATGCCAAAAAAGTAAAAGGGTTCCCATTATAATTTCAATGAGGTTGATTTGTTAACATATTATTTTAACAGTTATTATTATTTGTACAATTTTTTTTTTTTATAAGAGATTTTTCTAAGGACTATATTTATTTAGTTTAAATAATTGTATTTAATTTTTTTATCCCAGCGGGGGAGGAGAGAACTGAATACTCCCATGGCTATCCCATCCTATATAACTGTTATTATCGTTGAGTTTTTATTATTTATTATTATAACGCACACTGTTTTAATCATTTTACCATAATATGACATAATAACATATATTGTATTGTTGACAAATTAACATTATCAACTGAACTCGGCTCAGAATCGTTTTTTTCGTTAGCAATGGTTTATCGTTACTTACAAATATACATTAAATTCCCGTCTGTAGCCTGCATTCCCAATTTTTCACCTAAAACAGTGAATGCACCCATGTGCAAAGTAGGCCCGTCCTTTTAATCTATGTTATTTAGTATATTTGAAGAAAGAAGAAACATTTTTTTTTCTCAATTGTTCTTATGTTCTAAAATTATATTTATAATAACCATTATTATAATATCATGACATTTCCAAAAAGCATTATTTAAAACAAAAATAAAATCTATTTTTTTTTTAAATTTCTGATATCATCATTCTACAGACGTGCACATGCCACGTTCACCAAATGTTATAATTATGCTCGTAGATAATATGGACAATGTGTATAATGTCTGTAAAATACTGAGAGTCTGATACGCATGGCATGTGAATCGTTACGACCTAAACCGTTGGACGAAAAGTCGTCGAATCCAAAATATGTATTGACCTTAAATACATAATTTCTATTCAGTAACTGCAAACGCATAAATAAATTGAAATTAATGTAAAACATAAAACAACAACATAATCGAACTTTTACGATTTAAATATTATAAAGCACGGACGGATTTGCAAAAATAATTCCTTGACATTTCGGAGAGGGCATGGACCCTTCTCAGCCCCTTCATAAATATGCTCATGAATCTAAAGCAGAGGAAGTGGCGTGTTCAGGAAATTTCAATTGTAAAGAATGTACCTAGTAAATAACTATCATGAATCGTGAATAAATCGTAGCGTGCCTAATTTTCTGGTACATAATAAATTTTGTAGGCACTTAACCCAAGTAAATAAAAGTTTAAAAAACTGATTAAAAAAGACGTGACAGATGCAGCTACTGTTATAGATAATTTAATTTATACCTGTAAGCAACAATAAACCATTGCTTACGTAAAAACAATTCGGAGCGGAGTTCAGTTGATAATAATTCCTTGACAGCAATATATATCATTTTATAGTAAAATAATTAAATAGGCTTTATATTTTTTCTTTAATAATATTTGTTTATTGTTGCACCGATTTTTCCAGTTTTCCCATGTTTTATCCCGGTTTTTCACATTTGCTGGGAAAACTCTTGGGAAAATCGAAAAATTACCTCTTTAAAATACCGATTTTCTTTTAGAAAAGGTGCTGTACTTGAAAATCTGAGCAAGTCTGCCGGTAGAAAATTTGCGCACAGGTAAAAAAATAAATAAAATAAAAATTTTTGTAAAACCATAAGCTTCTTCGCTCCACTCAGAATCTAAAAAAGCCAACTTAAAAAATTTTGATATTTCTTTCCTTGTGGTTTGGCTGAAAAATAAATTCGGTTGTAAATATAGTTTCAATAAAATTATATTACTAAACAAACGTGTTCATAGTACACTTGTATTTTCAAGCCCATTGAACGTTGGAGGACGGACGATGTATTATAATACATAACATATTATATACATATAATACATTATATTATAATACATAATACATATAACCCCTAATATCTTCCTTGCGAACACTATACATACGGAGGGAAGGCGGGGTGGAGAAAGTTCGCATTACGAGACGTTATTCGTATGAAAAATCACGAAAAACCGTGAATTATTTTTTATACCTACCTATATAATATGGTATAGTTATAAAAACAAAAAAAAAAAAAAAGGAGCGAATAACATTTTTATATCGCCAGAGGAGTACGCGGGGAAGAGTTTATGACGCAACGGTGGACGTTAAATCCATCGTCCGAAAAAATAATACGGCGTTTTATGTTGTGACGATTTTCACGATCCGAATGCCTAAAATATATAATAAAATGTATGTGTGT